CCTGGCCAAGGCTTTCGACTCTGTCAACCACCGCATTCTTATTGGCAGACTAAATAGCCTTGGTTTCTCAAATGACTGCCTCGCCTGGTTCACCAACTACTTCTCAGATAGAGTTCAATGTGTCAAATCGGAGGGCCTGTTGTCTGGACCTATGGTAGTCTCTATGGAGGTGCCACAGGGTTCAATTCTCGGGCCGACTCTTTTCTCTGTGTATATCAATGATGTCGCTCTGGCTGCTGGTGACTCTCAGATCCACCTCTACGCAGACGACACCATTTTGTATACATCTGGCCCTTCATTGGACACTGTGTTAACAAACCTCCAAACGAGCTTCAATGCCATACAACACTCCTTCTGTAGCCTCCAACTGCTCTTAAACACTAGTAAAACTAAATGCATGCTCTTCAATCGAACGCTGCTGGCACCCGCCCACCTGACTAGAATCACTACTCTCCGCTGGTCTGACCTAGAGTATGTGGACAACTACAAATACCTAGGTGTCTGGTTAGACTGTAAACTATCCTTCCAGACTCACATTAAGCATCTTCAATCCAAAGTTAAATCTAGAATCAGCTTCCTATTTCGCAACAAAGCCTCCTTCACTCATGCTGCCAAACATGCCCTCGTTAAACTGACTATCCTACCGATCCTTGACTTCGGCGATGTCATTTACAAAATAGCCTCCAACACTCTACTCAGCAAATTGGATGTAGTTTATCACAGTGTCATCCGTTTAGTCACCAAAGCACCATATACTACCCACCACTGTGACCTGTACGCTCTTGTTGGCTGGTCCTCACTACATATTCGTCGCCAAACCCATTGGCTCCAGGTCATCTATAAATCACTGCTAGGCAAATCCCCGCCTTATCTTAGCTCATTGGTCACCATAGCAACACCCACCCGTAGTATGCGCTCCAGCAGGTATATCTCACTGGTCATCCCCAAAGCCAACACCTCCTTTGGCCGCCATTCCTTCCAGGTCTCTGCTGCCAATGACTGGAACGAACTGCAAAAATCTCTGAAGCTGGAGACTCTTATCTCCCTCACTAACTTTAAGCATCAGTTGTCAGAGCACCTTACCGATCACTGCACCTGTACACAGCCCATCTGAAATTAGCCCACCCAACTACCTCATCCCTATATTGTTATTTATTTTGCTCATTTGCACCCCAGTATCTCTATTTGCACATTCTTCTCTTGCACATCTATCATTCCAGTGTTAATACTAAATTGTAATTATTTTGCACTATGGCCTATTTATTGCCTTACCTCCATAACTTGCTACATTTGCACACACTGTATATATATTTTCTGTTGTATTTTTGACTTTATGTTTTGTTTTACCCCATATGTAACTCTGTGTTGTTGTTTTTTATCGCACTGCTTTGCTTTATCTTGGCTAGGTCGCAGTTGTAAATGAGAACTTGTTCTCAACTGCTTTACCTGGTTAAATAAAGGTTAAATAAAAAATAAATAAAATAAATAGAATGCATTTGGATTACCGATACAGTGTTATTTGGGTTGTTAACTGGATTTGTCCTGACATTCCTGATTTCTTTTATTTTATTTTTTACTAGCTCCTAACAACGTAGTGAAAAATGTACACAAATAATAATAATAATCTATTATTATTTGTGTACATTTTCACTACGTTGTTAGGAGCTAGTAACACAAGCATTTAGCTGCACCCGCTATAACATCTGCTAAACTGTGTACGCTACCAATAACCTTTGATTTGAGGTTATATTTTGGGTTCTAATGGTGTTGACGCCTTGATAAGTTCCTTTCCTGAGGATGGCTCACCCCTCACAGTTCTGGGGGACTTCAACCTCCCTACGTCTACCTTTGACTCATTTCTCTCTGCCTCCTTCTTTCCACTCCTCTCCTCTTTTGACCTCACCCTCTCACCGTCCCCCCCAACTCACAAGGCAGGCAATACGCTTGACCTCATCTTTACTAGATGCTGTTCTTCTAGTAATCTCACTGCAACTCCCCTCCATGTCTCTGACCACTACTTTGTATCCTTTTCTCTCTCGCTCTCCTCCAACACTACTCACTCTGCCCCTACTCAGATGGTAATGTGCCGTCGCAACCTTCACTCTCTCTCTCCCGCTACTCTCTCCTCTTCCATCCTATCATCTCTTCCCTCTGCTCAAGCCTTCTCCCTCCAATCTCCTGATTCTGCCTCCTCAACCCTCCTCTCCTCCCTTTCTGCATCCTTTGACTCTCTATGTCCCCTATCCTCCCGGCCGGCTCGGTCCTCCCCTCCAGCTCCGTGGCTTGATGACTCATTGCGAGCTCACAGAACAGGGCTCCGGGCAGCCGAGCGGAAATTGAGGAAAACTAGACTCCCTGCGGACCTGGCATCTTTTCACTCCCTCCTCTCTACATTTTCTTCATCTGTTTCTGCTGCTAAGGCCACTTTCTACCACTCTAAATTCCAAGCATCTGCCTCTAACCCTAGGAAGCTCTTTGCCACCTTCTCCTCCCTGCTGAATCCTCCTCCCCCTCCCCCCCCCCTCCTCCCTCTCTGTGGATGACTTCGTCAACCATTTTGAAAAGAAGGTTGACGACATCCGATCCTCGTTTGTTAAGTCAAATGACACTGCTGGTCCTGCTCACACTGCCCTACCCTATGCTTTGACTTCTTTCTCCCCTCTCTCTCCAGATAAAATATTGCGACTTGTGACGGCCGGCCGCCCAACAACCTGCCCGCTTGACCCTATCCCCTCCTCTCTTCTCCAGACCATCTCCGGTGACCTTCTCCCTTACCTCACCTCGCTGATCAACTCATCCTTGACCGCTGGCTATGTCCCTTCCGTCTTCAAGAGAGCGAGAGTTGCACCCCTTCTCAAAAAACCAACACTCGATCCCTCTGATGTCAACAACTACAGACCAGTATCCCTTCTTTCTTTTCTCTCCAAAACTATTGAGCGTGCCGTCTTTAGCCAACTCTCTTGCTATCTCTCTCAGAATGACCTTCTTGATCCAAACCAGTCAGGTTTCAAGACTGGTCATTCAACTGAGACTGCTCTTCTCTGTGTCACGGAGGCTCTCCACACTGCTAAAGCTAACTCTCTCTCCTCTGCTCTTGTCCTTCTAGACCTGTCTGCTGCCTTTGATACTGTGAACCATCAGATCCTCCTCTCCACCCTCTCCGAGCTGGGCATCTCCGGCGCGGCTCACTCTTGGATTGCGTCCTACCTGACCGGTCGCTCCTACCAAGTGGCGTGGCGAGAAGCTGTTTCCGCACCACGTGCTCTCACCACTGGTGTCCTCCAGGGCTCAGTTCTAGGCCCTCTCCTATTCTCGCTATACACCAAGTCACTTGGCTCTGTCATATCCTCACATGGCCTCTCCTATCATTGCTACGCAGACAACACACAACTAAGCTTCTCCTTTCCCCCTTCTGATAACCAGGTGGCGAATCGCATCTCTGCATGTCTGGCAGACATATCAGTATGGATGACGGATCACCACCTCAAGCTGAACCTTGGCAAGACGGAGCTGCTCTTCCTCCCGGGGAAGGACTGCCCGTTCCATGATCTCGCCATCACGGTTGACAACTCCGTTGTGTCCTCCTCCCAGAGTGCGAAGAGCCTTGGCGTGACCCTGGACAACACCCTGTCGTTCTCCGCTAACATCAAGGCGGTGACCCGATCCTGTAGGTTCATGCTCTACAACATTCGGAGAGTACGACCCTGCCTTACACAGGAAGGGGCACAGGTCCTAATCCAGGCACTTGTCATCTCCCGTCTGGATTACTGCAACTCGCTGTTGGCTGGGCTCCCTGCCTGTGCCATTAAACCCCTAAAACTCATCCAGAATGCCGCAGCCCGTCTGGTGTTCAATCTTCCCAAGTTCTCTCACGTCACCGCGCTCCTCCGCACACTCCACTGGCTTCCAGTTGAAGCTCACATCTGCTACAAGACCATGGTGCTTGCCTGCGGAGCTGTGAGGGGAACGGCACCTCCGTACCTTCAGGCTCTGATCAGTCCCTACACCCAAACGAGGGCATTGCGTTCATCCACCTCTGGCCTGTTGGGTCCCCTACCTCTGCGGAAGCACAGTTCCCGCTCAGCCCAGTCAAAACTGTTCGCTGCTCTGGCACCCCAATGGTGGAACAAGCTCCCTCACGACGCCAGGACAGCGGAGTCACTCACCACCTTCCGGAGACATTTGAAACCCCACCTCTTTAAGGAATACCTGGGATAGGATAAAGTAATCCTTCTACCCCCCCTTAACCCCCCCCCCCCCCCCCCAATTTGTATGTCGCTCTGGATAAGAGCGTCTGCTAAATGACGTAAATGTGTATGACAGTTGATCTAAGGTCATGAGGCATTTATAAGTTATATTCTTCAAGAATCAAAGGGTATATATCATTAATTAAACAAATTGATGTAGCAATCGCAGATTGAAAGAAAGAAAGTCTACATTGTAGTATCAAACACAGCCTCCCTCAACTCCTCACTTTATTTTTGTTTGCACTGATTGCAGACTTCACATTGCTATTTTGAATATCTAATTGAGTAAGGCTGGTTGAATTTTTATTAACATTGCACAAAAAAGATCTCCAGAAGCCTATTAGCTCATATAGTATTGTCTTCTTATCCAAAGGTGCAGACAGGTCTTGGCCTGGGGCAGGCCTACATGAAATTAGCAGTAATGGATCAAGCCCCTCCCATATTAGGCACACAATAGGAGTAAGGGAGGGGAGCAGAGGATAAAACAGAGGTGAAATAGCCACATACTCACATTAAGCTCACAGATTTGCCTTGCTTCACCACTTGACCATCGACTGGATAACATCACTTTTTCATTCATTGAATCGTTGTTGATATTTCATTGACCATTTTCTTCCCAATTGTGAGCATGTCATTGGGCTTTTGATTTGAACTTTTTGAAGCTCCAAACAACTGTTTCACTAATTGGGTGTGAGGTTTTTCCTGTGATCCAAGATGCGTTTTTTAGTTGCTTTATATTTATTTTTCTCTTTGATGCACGGACATATTGTGGCCAGCTCAGGAGAGTATTGCCATGGCTGGTCCGACTCTTACAAGATCTGGCACAAGGGCTTCCAGTGTCCAGAGCAGTATGATGGCCAGGACGCAAAATACTGCTGTGGGACCTGTGCGCTCCGCTACTGTTGCACGGCTGCGGAGGCGAGGCTGGATCAGAGCTCCTGTGACCTGGAAGAATTTTTAGAATTCGAAAACGATAACACAATCAACATGACACCAACAGGTAAGATTTTGTGTCGACATTTTCTGTTTTTGGTTTATTCAACATTTAAACTGTAATGGCTAAATGCTCTCTCCCTTGGAAAGTCCCGTGTGGCTCAGTTGGTAGAGCATGGCGTTTGCAACGCCAGGGTTGTGGGTTCGATTCCCATGGGGGGCCAGTATGAAGAAAGAAAAAAAAAAAGAGCGTCTGCTAAAGGTTAAAGCATTTCTGTTAGAAGTAAATAGCAGGCATAGTAATTTTGGTTCAATGTATACAATTCATTGATCCTGGTTTGTGGTCCAGCACTTACATTTTGTTCTGTCTTTTTCCCCCTCCAGTACCCACCTACTTGCCATTTGTGATAGTTGTGAGCACATTTCTGTCCTTTGTGCTACTTGGCACCGTTGTGTCCATATGTTGCTGCCAGTGCCTAAAGCCAAAGGCACAGGATCGTCAAAATGCATCAGCCCCCTTCCAGACCAGCCTGTTGGAATCTGGAGGGCCATCCCCAGAGAGCATGACTCCATCTCGCCAGTCTAGTTCCAGCTCAACCGGAAGATCAACCTTGGCACCCCCAAGACAACCAACCACCTCCACTCTTGGCACTGAGGTCAATGTAAACATGTATGTTGCACCTTTGAATAATGGATACCCTGTTTCAAGCACACAGTCTAACCAGTATGTGCCTCACCCGCAGCCCCCTGGTCCATTCTATCAGCCATATCTAAACTATGGGATGCCCCCAGAGCACACTATGCTAATTGCTCCATTCTTAGACAACCGCTCAATGTACGGACACCAACTGGTCCATTCCATTCCTCAGGCTCCGATGCACACAGAACAGTTGTACACAGGTGTCACAATATGAGGCGATTACACTATGGACAACTTTTTGCCACATGACAGTCATTTGTGAGTGCCCACTTGCTGTGTCTAAGAGTTATTTATGGAATGTTTATTATCCACTGATTTCAGTGTATATTTATGAGTGTAAATACAAATTATTTTTAACTTTTTTTGTCTTAAGTCCTAACTCTGATCCTGTAATAAGGATTCCAAACAGTCTGAAATCCCACTGTAATATAGTGACTAATACATAGCATGACATTTACATTTACATTTTAGTCATTTAGCAGACGCTCTTATCCAGAGCGACTTACAGTTAGTGAATACATATATATATATTTTTATGATGACAATCATCCCATAGGCCTATATTGTCAAAAGTAGGCCTACTCATGACATTGTAAAGTTAATAATAATATGCCATTTCGCAGATGCTTTTTACGTAAGGGCACCATGATAGAATGATAGAACAATAGCGTTCCAATCTATTGGGCTTCAAACAAGCTTTGTCTTCAGGATGGCCAGAAGATTTGGAGTTGAAGTCTTTTGTGATGTATCCCAGATATTTTAAAAAGAGTGTACTTACTGGTGGGAGGGAAGGACAATGGAGGGAGGCTGCAATCGCTGAATAAACCCAGGTAAAGAGGGGATTGTGGTAATCTCTTGAAAATGCGTTGGGGGAAGTGAGGGATAAGTACATAGGGGGACACAGCTTGGGGTTCAAAAGATGCGCACAGATAATCAACTACCTTATGACAGTCATTAGTGTTGAGGCTAAAAAGACTTTTACATATGACATTGTGATACAGTAGCCTAGATAATAAGGGCGGGGGGTAGTATTTAGTAAGACATGCACATTTCAGTTCAACATGCACATCTCAACTGATAACAGCCTGTAGATGCAATGCCCACCAAACTCAGAGTTATTATGGTATTTGAGGCCACATATGAGTCAGCCAATACCCTTTTCAGTTTGCTTAAAATAAATAACCAAATTGAATATGCAGTTAAAACAGTCTGTGTTGATTAAAGTAGCATGGCTTTATGAGGCGGTAATTCCTTCTGCATGCATTGTAAAATATGATCATCTACGCAGCGCGATTGCAAAAAGACGACCTGGAACGGCCCCAGAATGTTTCTTTTTAGTTTAGCAGGCCTTGCACGGAGTCCGCGACAGAGGGCGTCCTACTTGTTGCTAAGAGACAGTCGTGTGGGAGGCTGTCAGAAATGATGAAGTGAGGGGATGATTCATGATATTTAGCTAGCTGTGTTTATTTGCTGTAATGTTCGTGAATAGACTAATAGCTAGCTAGCTATTTAACTTAAATATATCTTATACTTTACTAAATTCTGAACAGAACATCACAGCTAAGCAATTCGTTAGACAGCTGAGTGCGTTGTATTCGTGGGTCGTTGATTTATCATAATAAATGGTTTTGGAGCTGGCAGTGCCCGCAAATGCAGGCCCATTGCTTCACCGCTCCATCCAGCACATTGAGCGTATTTTCCGGGTGAGGGTCAGCTACGGATCCGCTGAGTCAAACTGCGACAGCACACATGTCAGCACCAGCAATATAATCATAGTTCGTGTCGCAGAGGGCGAGGAAGATGACTGCACCAAGGCAAAAGTAAGTAACTTTTCTGCGACGTTAACATTTGCTTCGTGTTTAACAGCCTAGCTAGCTAGCTATCTGTACTGGAGAGTAACGTTCGCTAGCTAGCTAGCCTATTAGGCTAATCTCTCTTGTTGTGGTGGAGTTGAGAACGTCTGACTAGAGCTACATGTTTACATGTACTTTTTGTTTTCATAGTCTTATGTTGCTAACGTTAGCTAGCTAGTGTACGTTAACTAACGTTACCGCTACATTGTTAGCTAACTAACTTAGTAGCTAACGTTAGCTACTTCATGAGGGGCACAAGCTAACTGTTTAGCTAACGTACCTAGCTAGTGCTATACAACTTGTTTGAGTATTTTTTTTGCTTTTAATAAATGCAATTTTTACAGTGCTGAAATTAAGCTAAATTGTGTGGTTCGTTTCTGTTGGACGCTTTTTAGCTAATGTGTTAGCTAGCTAGTGTCCGTCTCATCTAGCCAACGACGTTAACGTTACCAGTAATGTTTGGGAAAATATGATCACAGATAAAAATATGTGATCATATGCCAAATGTGCTAAATAAACTCTTAGCTATCTATCTAATCAATATTAGTTCACCTTAGAACGGATTCATTGGTGTCTAATTCTGTAAGCAGCACCAGCTACGAACATCTCGCACAAATGTTGCAAACCTCATCATAGTTACTTAAATGACCCCTTATTTGACATTGTTTGAGTTTTCACTTCCAGGACTTACTCATGGTGTTGTGTGCTTCAGAACACAGTGTTCTGGTGTGTAACTACCTCCATTACTGCAGCATATCTGTACTTTGCAGCTTTCGCTGTGGGGTCTCAGCCATCATTTACATTTCAGCTTGGGCAACCATCTAGTGCTTCTCAAGGCACATGTTCCACTTGTTGCTATGAGACTGTGCTGCACAAGCCTGTGCATGTGCAGTGCTTGAGTATTGTGGCCTTGCTGTGTCTCAGCCTGTTATTGGGGGGGGGGGGGGGGGCTCCTTCGCTGTTTTCAAGCTGCTCTGGTCCTCTACTGCTATGCCATGTAGTGTAGGAATACCTGGAATAGTATAAAAGTAATCCTTCTACACCCACGCCCCCATTTAAATACAAAAAAGAGAGAAAAAAGGGGTTGTCCCACTGGCTATCATAAATGTAATGCACCAATTTGTAAGTTGCTCTGGATAAGAGCGTCTGCTAAATGATGTAAATGTAACACATCAGTATTGTTGTGTGAGGTAGCTACTGGGTTTTCTACATATACACAAATGTCTTTGTGTTGATGTTGTGAGGTCATCTGAAAATAATCTGCCACTTTGGTTATTGAATGTGCTTGCCTCTTCCCAATAGGTTATTGTTCATATCTTGTATAGCCTAGCTATATTTGTTCTAAGGATGAAGTACAGTAGTATCATTCCACTTTCTCAGGCCAGATCTACTCCATTATCTTATGTTTTCTATAGTGTCCTGACTCTCACTTTCTTTGATAAGAGGTGGGGAAATAAGTAGGCTATCTAAATAAGTAAGTAAATAAAACCTTTAGGCTCATCATCAGCATAAGGCTCATCATATTACTAAATCCAGCATTTTCATAGAAGAGCACTAAATAAAATAACATGTTTTAAGTCATGTTAGCCTATTTCCTTCCCATAGAAAGACTACTAGAGATGGACATTTTCTGTTTTTATGTGATTATCAAATGTCTATTTTTCGCTTTGGCTCTTCACAATGTGGCAGTTAGGATGCAATCTGTATAAAACTGGGGAAAAGATGTAGCAATGTACTGAATTAATGCTTTTGTTGTGTTTGTTTCTTACATGGATTTATACTCAGCCTCTTATATTATCTGTGTTTTACATTGTAAATCTCATATTTTGAGGCACGCTATGTTAACCGTGTTTGCCAGGCTGCCTAGAGAAAGATGGGCTGTGTTCTGTTAGTCGTGACTGCTGAAAAGCAGTTAGCTGATGACAGGGCTGTGTTGCTAGGCAACCCATGTCATGGGCTGAGCCTCTTGAAGCACTAATGGAAGTAGCTAGCTATCTACTATCTGCAAGACCTGGGGAAGTACCGGTTTCAGGAGCATATGCATTGGGTTTCCATTTGTTTTAAAGCATTTGGGTCTGTATGCATATTTATTTTTTAAAATGCTCATGTAATCTCCAATGCATCTCAGCCTTTACATTATGACAATGGATAAGATTGATCTTTCATTTTAATAGGGACGGATACAATTAAAACATTGACACATCAATTTATTGAAGAGTGTGGTGCATTGCACCATTTCAGTTTGTACTTTTCATGGGGAGTTCAGGGGCCTTAGATTTCCTCTGAGGCCATACTTAACATTGACACATGAATTAGACATGTATTGAATCTTGTACTTGTAGACAGGGATGACATTTGGCCAGTTTGGTGTTTTATTGACAATTACCCTTTGTTTTCCTCCAGGATTACATAGTGTCCTTAATTTCACCAGCTCACAGAAAGAGAGAGCGTCTAACGTTGGCTTTACACAAACAGCTGGCTGCGCTGAAGTCAGCCATCGAGTATGATTCTCAGGCTGTGGTGGAGGTGAGGGAGCATGTGGTGGACATCTCAGGTGGTGAGAGGAACGTGATGACGGCATGGTCGACGGTGGAGAAGATCAAAATGGAGAAACACCCATGCAGGGAAGAGGCCCCTGAGCTGACTGAGGCCCAGCAGCCCAGTGGGGAGTCAGAGGAGGGAAGCAGCTCAGAGAGCGAGTCAGAGCAGCAGCATCAGCTGCAGGTGAACAGCGGCAGCTGTAAGAGGAAAGAGCCCTTCAGTGCCACCAAGCCTCACCGGCAGCTCTGTCGCTCTCCATGCCTGGACCGGCCCAGCTTCTCCCAGAGCAGCACTCTACCAGAGCTCCGCCCTGACGACACCAAGGCCGCCGCAGTGCTCAAACATGCCAGCGACAAGGAGTACCAAACCAAGATGGAGTTTGCCTTGAAGCTGGGATACTCAGGTGAACAGGTGGAGACAGTGCTGAACAAGTTAGGGGCTGCTGCCCTTATCAATGACATTCTGGCTGAGCTTGTAAGGCTTGGTAATAAAGGAGAACCGGAAGTTCAAGCCAGCATTAACACCGGCACGTTCATCTCCCGTGGAGGCCCCTGTGTCAAAGAGGCTGTCAGTCCGGAGGTGTCACTGGAAGAGGATTCCGTGGATCCTTATGATAATCTCAGGCCCATCGTCATTGATGGATCGAATGTGGCGATGAGGTAAGTCTCTATTAGACTCACACAATCAAAACAAATCTATTTGTACCTCACCTCATGCAGAATGTTCTGAACCATCAGTTTTTTTTATGGCTGTACTTGAATTAGTGTTACAAGCAGACCTTTTACTAGATGTGGTTGTTTTGTTTTGTAGCCATGGAAACAAAGAGGTTTTCTCTTGCCTTGGTATCCAATTGGCTGTTGATTGGTTTGTGGAGAAAGGACACAAAGACATCACAGTGTTTGTTCCTGCCTGGAGGAAAGAGCAGTCGAGGCCTGATGCCCCCATTTCAGGTACTAAAGCTCTACTTCAATTAGCCACATTTAGACGAGATGTTTTCAAAAAATGTTGTCTGTGTTGGGTGGGATCTGTGTGTGTGTGTTCTTTTTTAATCAGCGTGTGTGGACATTACGCTCAATTTTCCCCATGCAAAAAAGCATGTCCCACAGTGAGAAAAATAACTAACATTTTAAATAGATCATTTTAAATAAACAATTACATTAGTTTGGATGGATGTCCCACAATTCATTTGAGTTTGTTTTCAAATGTAATGCATATGAAAATGTCAATGTGAAACCACAGGTACATAGGCCTACTTAGTTCTATGTAACAATTTGTACACTGCTGTTCTTGACTGATTTTAATGGTTGAACTTTTCTTTTCACAGACCAAGACATTTTGCGGAAGCTAGAGAAAGAAAAGATCCTAGTGTTCACCCCATCTAGAAGAGTCCAGGGAAGGAGAGTGGTATGCTACGATGATCGCTTCATAGTGAAGCTGGCCTGTGACTCTGATGGCATTATTGTGTCAAATGACAACTACAGGGACTTACAGAACGAGAAGCCGGAGTGGAAGAAGTTCATAGAGGAGCGGCTGCTGATGTACTCGTTTGTCAATGATAAGTAAGTCATCAGAGCCCTCACAGCGACTTGGGTAATGAGTGTAATTAACTACAGAATGACTAAGCATATTCTCTTTTTATGTTTCAGATTCATGCCACCTGATGATCCTTTAGGAAGACATGGTCCAAGTTTAGAGAATTTCCTCCGCAAGCGTCCTGTTGTTCCAGAGCATAAAAAGCAACCCTGTCCATATGGTAGGTTGTCTCAACAAATGATGATTGTATTTTTGTGGTTGTACTGCTGATGTCCATATTGTTTAACTTGTGCTCTCTTTTATATCACCTTAAACAGGGAAAAAATGCACTTATGGACATAAGTGCAAGTACTATCACCCAGAGCGTGCAAACCAGCCTCAGCGGTCAGTGGCTGATGAACTGAGGGCGTTTGCCAAGTTGTCTGCTGTGAAGACAATGAGCGAGGGGGCCCTGGCCAAGTGTGGCACTGGACCCACCACAGCTAAGGGGGACAGTGGCTCTGAGGCTAAACGTGTGGCCCCTAAGCGCCAGTCTGATCCCAGCATCCGCTCAGCGGCCTGCGAGCCAGAGGAGAGACTGTCTGCTGTCCGTAAGCCTGAGGCAAATTCTGTGCCTTCCCTCGTGTCTGCCCTCAGCGTGCCCACCATGCAGCCTGCCAAGAGCCACGCGGCTGGTGCCTTGAACACGCGATCAGCCAGCAGCCCAGTGCCCGGCTCCCTCCAGTTCACCCACAGCTCCCTGGAGCACATGTCTAGTGTACAGTACCCACACCCACCCATCCTAGTCACCAACAGCCATGGTGCTTCTGTCACTTACAGTGAACAGTTTCCTAAGTACGATTCTGTGAGCACAGACCACGGATACTACTCTATGCTTAGTGATTTTTCTAACATGAGCATGAGCAGCATGCACAATGTGGACAGCTTCTGTAGCATGGAGCATGAGCACGGGATTTATCAGAGAAATCCCAGCCAGCATTGCCCTGAGCCCTGCCTCAGCCACTCTAACAGTGACTCCTTCTCCTCTTATGGGGAATTATACATGAGCTCAGTGGACAGTAGCCTGGATGAGAGCATGAAGGGGCAGCAGTCTCCTGCACAGAACAGACTCCAGGCCTTCTCCCATGGGGGGTTCCACCACGAAGCACTGACCCGGGTGCAGAGCTATGGCCCTGAGGAGCCTAAGCAGGGTCCAAGTGGGAAGCAGTCCATATCCCACCTGGCACCGCATGTCCAGCACCCTGTTGTTGGGGCCAGGTCCAGCTGCCCAGGGGACTACCCCTTACCTCAGAATGTCCTCCCGTCACAGTCCTCGCAGCCGGGACGCTCCCTGGGCATGACACGCATGGACAGCATCTCAGACTCCAGGCTGTACGAGAGTAACCCTATGAGGCAGCGGAGACCCCCACTGTGCCGCGAACAGCACGCCAGCTGGGACCCGCTGCCCTGCGGCAGTGAATCCTATGGATACCACTCGTACCCCCTGAGTAACAGCCTGATGCAGCCATGTTGTGAGCGGGTGATGGTCCGCAGCATGCCTGACAAGATGGAGCAGATCTGGAGGTCTCCGTGGGAGAACCCGCCTCAAGCTGAGCACCAGGAGCGCCATGTCATCCCAGAGCACCAGTACCAAACATACCGCAACCTCTGCAACATCTTCCCCGCTTTCGTGGTGCACTCTGTCATGGAGAAAAACCCTCATCTAATGGACCCACAACAACTCGCTGCCGTCATTGTCACGAAGCTGAGGTCTTGCCATTAAGTGTTTTCATTTTATTTTTGAAGCGACAATTGTCTGAATAGTATTATTTGATTGTCATCCAATTTCTCCTCATGAAATTCAGAATCCCAAAATCATTGTTATCAAATGTAAGGGAAAACTTTGATGGTAAGATTTCGTATTTGAATTTAAACGTAGTCATCCATCATTTGATACATTGAGGAATTAGTTCACTATACCTACATAATATTGTGCATATCTGACACTGATGTAAATACTATGTGACTTTGTTGTTTATTGTGCAATGATTTGTGGTAAAAGACAGAGGGAAGTGAGTGCAACCATACCTCAGAGCATGAACTTTGACATTTAATGGCCTTATATCTGAATGACCTCACTGCTCCAGTCATTGTTTAATGGATTTCAATGAATATCCTAATGTAGTTGAGGTCAGTCTCTTTTGCTTTTTAAATGTTAAGCACTGTAAGTATTTAGAATGATATATATTTTCTCAATCTCACTTTACAAAGCTACTATTTTGGTAGAACTTGTGGGTGCACGTATATAAGCAAGCCAAACTAGAACTGGGAAAGATCAGACTTAAAACACCTGTGCACATATGACACATGAAAGCCATTTTAAAGCTGCTGAAATAATGCCAAAAAGATAGATAATTGACCATGTCATTATAAAGCGATTAAAGTTTTGATGCAGACAATTGATTGGGTAGTAGTGTAACATCACACCAGTGTTGTAAGCCTTTCCTATGGTATACTGTATGGCTTGTTGTGTTGATTAGTTACATTAATGTAACTGTTACATGGACATTATTGGAACCATTTTGAGCGTGTATATATCATTGGGACCTGGCATGTGACTTAATGGCACAGGATGGCACTTCCAGTGTGTCTAACGTGACTTATATTTGTAATTACTAAGGAACTGGTGTAGTCTCCTTGGCAAAATGCTTTAAAGAAAAGCATCAGTTTCCTTATTAATGCTGAGAGAACCCATCTAAATGAACACATGTAAAGAAAACAAAAAACATTTCTGAATGTTATTTGCCCAAAATAATTTTGGGGCTTTGTTGACTTTGTTTTTTCATGAACTAAAAGCAGGCCATGTTGGGCCTGTTGTCTCTTCATGAGAAGGTGTGACACACTGCCTAAATGTTTCTTCCTGTGAAACACTCAGAATGCGAGGCTGCCGTCAGGGTTGTTTCTGGCATTTGGCTCACAGTTTGCGTGCCTACCTTTTCCCTCAGTACTTTCCCTCACATTTGAAAGGCTTCATAATTATGTGAAATGTGTTGGTTATAATATCATTTCTAAAGACTGTCATGGAATTGTTTCTTTTCTCAGTGAGTAAAATATCATGATCTGTAATCAAGGTCTTGGGCCATATCCAATGCACATTAGTATTTCGTTTATTTTGACATAGCATGTGCATGTTTCATACTTTTGATGAGAGCAGAGAGCCCCCTCCCCCCTCCCATTTTGAAGTGCCGCAAACGACAAAGCCTAAAATGTCTAGAAATGACCTTTGTTTGTTGATACAAATTGTATCTATTTCTTGATTGTAAAATATATTTATGAAATGTACAGTATCATGAAGTTTTATTTAAGAAAAAAAAAATACAATGCCATAATGTGTGTGACACTGTGTGTCACTGGGAGTAGCCCATTGGTATGTACCTTTTCTTACTGGGCACAGTAGTTTATTTACAGGGACACTTACGTGCTACATGGAAGTGCATAGATACCCTGTGTGCAGCTGTAAGCATCGCGTCCTCTCTCTATGTGTATTAATACTGAAATGACCACTCATTGTACAATTTCAATGCTCTATTTAACTTGTTGCATCAACGTTTTTTGATGTGTTGTAACCCAAGCAGCTTAGTAAGAAATGTGACCCCTCTCTAACTTTTTTTATCCATATCTGCTCTATTCCTGTGTTGATACCATCTATATTTAAATGTGTAAGTCTCTCTGGATAAGAGCGTCTGCTAAATAACTTAAATGTGAATGTATTGACATGCGTTGACATATTGAAAAACATGCCAAAACTGGTTAACTTTTAATTGCTACACAGAGAACTGAATAGGAATAGGTTGCAATGCCAGTCATATACTTGGGTTACGACATTTATGGGGTTATTTATTAAATAAATACAAAAAAAAACACAATTTGACCCACATAATACTATATTAAACTCTTAGGCTACTGCCACAGTAAAGTTGAATGACAGTGTGTTAGTATGATTCAGTATTTATGAGACAGGCATTTGTATTACCTCTGATTGGACATGTGATTTGATGAATAACCCCCTTTTTTGGTGACAAGATTATAACTATTGATTTGTGGTGTACTTTGGAAATCTGGCACTCACCAGTGGCACTTGATTTAGCCTTAAGTATTTTAAAGCATGTGAGTATATTGGTTTCAATTCTATTATGTTTCAAATTAGAAATTGTATTTTTGCTGTGAGCCTCTGTAATTACATTGCATTTACAAGATAGGCCTGTTTGTGATGACTGATTTCAGTCTTATATTGATATTGGTGGTCTGAGCAACTTGCAGTTGATTTTATTGTTGGAATTGAACACAGCAGGTAGAGAGGGTTGAAAAATGACAGATATTTCCTATGTGTAGATTAACCTTGAATTGTTGTAAATATCAGCTCACCTGAAATGGTAAATTATCTTATACACCCACAATAGCAATTCTCAGGTACTATGAGATTTACTACAAAATACTTCAAAAACAATATTGTGTGCTATTATTATGAATGATAAATGCTCTTACAAAGTCAGATTAGTGAATTAGTGCAGCTCACGTCCTAAAGTTAAGTTAAACTGTCTTGTATTGTGGTTTTGCAATGTAAAAGGGTTAAGCGTAAGTTGACAACTAGGCCATGTGTTATGAGCTGCAGTAGTTCTATTCTATGTTGAATTAAACGCATTGCTTTTAAAATTGTTTTAAGTGACAAAACAATTAGCAAAAGACAAAAAAACATGAACTCTTTGGGTCTGTTGGCTCAAACAAAATGTAAGTCTCAATGACAAAGTGTTTGTTTCCTCAAATAAAGCCAGACTATGTTTATACGGTGTTCTTTTGTTGGCCGTGTCAAGTGTTTCATCTTTCAGATTTCCAACGGCATTTTTATATTTTATAGCAGTCCCCCGTCCAACGGCCAGCAGAGAGGTTCAGGATGACTGCTGAAACTAGTCACTGAGAAGAACTTGCAAGTAAGCATTTAAAGCATTGTACCGTGTACACTACTGTGTCTTGTGCATGTGACAAACTTTGATTTATTTGTGCAACACTAGTTTTCCAGAACAGTGTTCTGACTATAATTCATAAGAATTAGCCAATTGTAATTGACACAGTGGCATAAAAGGGATTCAGGAACCTTATGTTTGCAAGTCAGAATTCAATATTTAAATCGAAAGAACGTGATACAATGTCTCGGGTACTCCAAGTACTTTTATTTGACACGTGCCTTTGCTGAAAACAAAAAACTGCTTTTGGCATGTCAGAGTAGAAACAATACAATGTGTTTGCAGATGAAGATCAATGACAGTGAAGGCCTTTATTTTACAGTATTGGCATATTTGTTTAAAACAGTTGCAGGCCAGCTTTCAATTTGCTGATATCATTGTGTGTCCAGAGAAGCCCATCCGTGGTGACTCTGTGTGGCATTGAGACACTGGAGAGATTAAGAGAAACATTACTGATCAGATTAAGTACAATTGCTTAGTGATGGTTGATCTATTACTTACTCATACTTCTATTTCTATGGATGCCTTTGATTTATAGTATAACTTTATTTTCTTGTTTCTTACCCTGCATGCACATTGTGCTGAGTGGCATTCTCCATTTCCACCTGCTGGTCAAACACCATAATAGTAGAGAAGTTATCTACCATTAGGCAGGAAGGGTCCTCTGACTGGCCTGGAACTTTCCCAAGAGGATAGTTCTTCCACTGGACTTTGTCTAAACCGGTGAGAAAACAAACCTATTTAGATCAAATGTCATATTCTAATGAAATATTGTGGAATCAGAATCAGATTCATGTTCTTCAAATTTGCATGACAACTGAACTGACCTGTGCAAACTTGCCAGGGAGAACCCCTGAGTTCCGCGGCCCTCTCGGCCAGGACATCTGGGCTCAGGTGCTCTTGGAAGTCGTCGGTCCTCTCTGGCAGGGCCTTGCGTGGGTCAGATACGGTTCCTGGGTGCATCATGTGGACCTGGCGTCTGGACTGCAGCCGCAGCCTCTCATGCAGGCTCTCTAGGGTGTAGATACCGCTAGGCTGGCCTGAGTGCTCCATGGAAGGATCACACCCCGAGTCTGCCCCCTGGGTGTAGATACTGCTCAGTCTGAGTAGCTTCCGTCGGGTGTCCAAAGGCATCGGGTGCTCCATGTCCTCCAGGATCCTGAAAGTTCATTTTAGTCATTATGTTTGAAAATGACTTAAAGTTTGATATTTCATAAGCTGGTACAGCGCAGTAGAGAATACAGTAAGTGAGGTGTGTACATAATGAAGTCGCTTACTGCTGGAGCAGGTGAGGCGTGGCCACGCAAGGAGCATTCAGACATGCTGCAAGGAGTTGCTGCCACCTCAGCTGGATGCGTTTCATAAAGATCTTGTCCTTCAGTCTGGCTTTCCTCTGGATTTTTGATTCATAATGGTATTCATTCTCTGTAGAAACAAAATTCATCCGCATCAGTAAATCAGGTAAATCCGGCACAGTTTTGTATTTAAATTGAGTTCTTTTATTATTGGGGTAGAAAATGATCGTACTGTTGGCGTTGCAGAGGATGACCTCAGAAATCCACCCAGCGATGTAGAAGGATCTGTGTTTCTGGTCGTCTTCAGAGAGCTGCTGCAGCTCAACAAACAGTTTCTCCAGGAGGAGATGAATGAAGAGCTGAGAGTTGAGATCCTTCAGGAGGGGCAGCCAGAAACGCAGGACAACTCGAGGAAGGTGGGGAGCAGTGGGGTCTGCATCATCTTCAAAAACAAAGACATTCTAGTCAGTCAGGTAAGTGTGTATGGCTTACAGCATTTTTGACATGTCCCCAGTCTTACAACATCCGTTAATCAATAAAATCAACATGGGATTTACACACAGATTTATTTTAAGAAAAGTATTGGGAGGAAATCTACCTAATCTCAGTTTTACCTGAGGTGTCGACACTAAGTGACACCAGTTGTTCAATGGTTGGAACCATGAATCCATCCTCCACCAATGCATCTATTAGTATTTCACTATGTGGGAAAAAAGAACAATGAGGTCCCAGAGCTTTGCCATTTCAATAACGTTATTCTTGTAAAATACAATCTGATGCAGTTTATGGATTTGACAATCACTGCAATACCAATAAATGTGTTAACTGACCTAGACTCTAGTGCAAAGTGCTTGATCTGGGCAAGGATCCAGCTCATGTCTGCAGAGGGTTCTGGCCACAAGCTCTTCTGTTTGTCCTCCTCTAGAAATCCTTCAAACGTCTAAACAAAAGAAAAGAGCAATGACGACCAAGCTCACAATTCATGTTTTGGGACCGAAAGTACAGCCCATACAATTTGGAAAAGTGAAGTATCGTCTTTCATTGCTGTTTCACACACATGCCACCTGATTGCATCCACCCTACCCCTCAACACAACTTACTGGCATTATAGTGAAAGGCTGGGATAAGTATACCACCATATGCATTGCTGGCAGTAGAGAAGAAAACCCAATTACTCTAGATGCCCATCTTGAGAGGCCCTCATTTATAGCTGTAGAAGAGAAGATGCTGTGCAGACTAGAGAACAGATGTCTTCACCCTCTAATATGGTGGGTTGAGTTGAGTGTGCCAGTCTCACAATAATAGGAAAATTATTACGTGGTTATAAATTGTGATTAAATGTTCTTTCTTGAGGACTTCCCACAATAACCATATCGTCCTTGATGTTGATTATGCATGATTCACATACGTTTCTGACGTACATGGCATACATACCGTGCAAATAAACCTAACAATCCTGCTGTTAATTTCACAAATCAATACATAAATGTAACAAACAAAAGGCAAAGGTTAAGGGGGGGGGGGGGGGGGGGGCGTGTAAATACCTGAAACTGCTCCTTTTCGAAAGATATCAATAACTCTCGTGCCTTCTCTGAAAAGAGAGAAAAAAAAGCATCTCAGTAAACAAACTGACAGTCATGTTTTAAATACCTTTTGAAAATCTAACTGGGGAATAAGCGGAGTCTAAAGCGTTCAAATGTTTCCAACTTACTGTAGGATTCAATTTCTTTTTGTCTGGTGATGAGCTCATCCTCCTGCCTCTGAAGCGCCTCTTCCCCATCCTCCCCCTCTGACTGGGAGTCCCAGTTCTCAGCCAGCCCACTGCCCAGCTGCCTGGACCAGTACTCCTGCTGAAGCCACTCCAGCACAAACTTACAACCTGCAACATAGAAAAGACATCAAGTCAACTAAAGAGTAAGATCACTGCAGAAAGTCCAAAGTCACAATGGCAAGTAGGAATGATATATCATATTGTTTTTGAGGATGAGGATAAAAACCCATGGTCTCTGAGATGATCATTCTTAAAAGATAAATAAATCAGTGTTTGTTCATGATCATGCTCACCCTTGCGACACCATTTCAAGGTAGGGAGCTTGCGGTGGGTAATGTCATGTCTGAGGTTTACAATCCACTCAGGGATTTTCAACTGTTAAAAAATCCATTAGAATAAAAACATGTATTTATTATTCCATCACCTGCATAGCGGGGTCCCCCAGATGAGATGATCATTTGATGAGTAGGGAGCATTTAGAGGAAAATGTAATATTATATTTAATAATCATAATGACGCAAGATGATATATATATATATTTTTCAATTACTCACGTTGCTGGCTAGCCTTCTGAGGGGACGAGCAACTTTCCCCTGCTGACGCTCTGTGATTAAGTTGACAAACCTATTATTGAGAAAAACATCAAACAAGCCAATAAAGAGGAGACAGTAAACGTTTATTTTATATAAATATATAACAAAAGTGTCAATCTGACACATGGAGCTATATCCCATTGAGTCTGCACAGAACTGCCAGGACCTAGGATCAAATGGAGACCCTGAAGTTGTTTAAATCCTGTATCTCTTGACACATTCACGAAAATAGTAATGGCCTCTAAACCTTCAAGCTGCATACTGGACCCTATTTCAACTAAACTACTGAAAGAGCTACTTCCTGTGCTTTGCCCTCCTATGTTGAACATAATAAATGGCTCCCTATCCTCCGGATGTGTACCAAACTCACTAAAAGTGGCAGTAATAAAGCCTCTCTTGAAAAAGCCAAACCCTGACCCAGAATTATTATATATATATATATATATTTTTTACTTTCAGCCTATTTCGAATCTCCCATTCCTCAAAAAAAAAAAAAAAAATCTGTTGCGCAGCAACTCACTGCCTTCCTGAAGACAAATAATGTATACACAACACTTCAGTCTGGTTTTAGATCCCATCATAGTACTGAGACTGAAGGTGATAAATTACCTTTTAAATGGCATCAGACCAAGGCTCTGCATCTGTCCTCGTGCTCCTAGACCTTAGTGCTGCTTTTGACACCATCGATCACCACATTATTTTGGAGAGATTGGAAACCCTAATTGGTCTACACGGACAGGTTCTTCCCTGGTTTAGATCTTATCTGTCGTAAAGATATCAGTTTGTCTCTGTGGATGGTTTGTCCTCTGACAAATCAAATTGTAAGTTTCGGTGTTCCTCAAGGTTCCGTTTTAGGACCACTATTTTCACTATATATTTTACCTCTTGGTGATGTCATTCGGAAACACAACGTCAACTTTCACTGCTATGCGGACGACACAGCTGTACATTTCGATGAAACATGGTGAAGGCCCAAAATTGCCTACTCTGGAAGCCTGTGTTTCAGACATAAGGAAGTGGATGGCGGCAAATGTTTCACTTTTATACTCTGACAAAACAGAAATGCTAGTTCTAGGTCCCAAGAAACAAAGATCTGCTGTTGGATCTGACAATTAATCTTGATGGTTATACAATCGTCTCAAATAAAATACTTTGGCATTACTCTGGACCCTGATCTCTCCTTTGACGAACACATCAAGAATATTTCAAGGACAGATTTTTTCCCATCTTCGTAACATTGCAGAAATCCAACTTTTTTGTCCAAAAATGACGCAGTAATCTAGAAGTGACAAAAGCATGGATTAGCTTTTCTGCAACGCTCTACTCTCCGGCTACCCGGATAAAGCACAAAATAAACTTAAGTTAGTGCTAAACATGGCTGCTAGAATCTTGTGTAGAACCCAAAAATTGGATCATATTACTCCAGTGCTAGTGTCTCTACACTGGTGTCCTGTTAAGGGCTGATTTCAAGGTTTTACTGCTAACCTACAAAACATTACATGGGCTGCTCCTCCCAATCTCTCCGATTTGGTCCTGCCGTACATACCTACACGTACGCTACGGTCACAAGACGCAGGCCTCCTTATTGATTCAGAGGGGTTGGGTTAAATGCGGAAGACACATTTCAGTTGAATGCATTCAGTTGTACAACTGACTAGTATCCCCCTTTCCCTTCCCCTTTATTGTCCCTAGAATTTCTAAGCAAACAGCTGGAGGCAGGGCTTTCTCTTATAGAGCTCCATTTTTATGGAATGGTCTGCCTATCCATCTTTACTGAAGACTCATCTCTTCAGTAGGTCCTATGATTGAGTGTGGTCTGGGCCAGGGGTGCAAAGGTGAACGGCAAGGCACTGGAGCGACGAACCGCCCTTGCTGTCTTGCCTGGCCAGCTCCCCTCTCTCCACTGGGACTCTCTGCCTCTGACCCTATTACGGTGGCTGAGTCACTGGCTTACTAGTGCTCTTCCATGCCGTCCCTAGGAGGGGTGCGTCACTTGAGTGGGTTGAGTCACTGACGTGATCTTCCTGTCCGGTTTTGCGCTCGTGCGGTGGAGGAGATCTTTGTGGGCTATACTCAGCCTAGTCTCTGGGTAGTAAGTTGGTGGTCTGTTGATATCCCTCTAGTGGTGTGGGGGCTGTGCTTTGGCAAAGTGGGTGGGGTTATATCCTGCCTGGTTGGCCCTGTCCGGGGGTATCGTCGGACGGGGCCACAGTGTCCCCCGACCCAGCCTCCAGTATCTATGCTGCAATCGTCTATGTGTCCCGGGGGGCTAGGGTCAGTCTGGTATATCTGGTGTAATTCTCCTGTCTTATCTGGTGTCTTGTGGAAATGTAGATATGCTCCCTCTAATTCTCTCTCCCTCCCCTCCCGGAGGACCTGAGCCAAGGACCATGCCTCAGGACAACCTGGCCTGATGACTCCTGGCTATCCCCAGTCCACCTGGTCGTGGTGCTAATCCAGTTTCAACTGTTCTGCCTGCGGCTATGGAACCCTGACCTGTTCACCGGATGTGCTACCTTGTCCCGGACCTGCTGTTTTCGACGCTCTCTACCGCACCTTCTGTCTCGACCTCTGAATGCTCGGCTATGAAAAGCCAACTGCCCATCTTAATCTTTTATTTTTATTGGCCAGTCTGAGATATGGCTTTTTCTTTGCAACTCTGCCTAGAAGGTCAGCATCCCGGAGTCGCCTCTTCACTGTTGACGTTGAGACTGGTGTTTTGCGGGTACTATTTAATAACCTGCCAGTTGAGGACCTGTGAGGCGTCTGTTTCTCAAACTGTAATCGAACCCACAATTGCTGATGCTCCAGATACTCAACTAGTCTCAAGTAGGCCAGTTTTATTGCTTCTTTAAAAATCAGCACAACAGTTTTCAGCTGTGCTAACATAATTGCAAAAGGGTTTTCTAATGATCAATTAGCCTTTTAAAATGATAAACTTGTATTAGCAAACAATGTGCCATTGGAACACAGGATTGATGGTTGCTGATAATGGGCCTCTGTATGCCTATGTAGATATTCCATTAAAAAAATCAGCCGTTTCCAGCTACAATAGCCTTTACAACATTAACAATGTCTACACTGTATTTCTGATCAGTTTGTGGTCATTTTAAATGGACAATTTTTTTTGCTTTTCTTTAGAAAACAAGGACATTTCTAAGTGACCCAAAACGAGAGATATATATATATATACATACATATATATACACACACACACACACACACACACACACACATACAGTGAGGGAAAAAAGTATTTGATCCCCTGCTGATTTTGTACGTTTGCCCACTGACAAAGAAATGATCAGTCTATAATTTTAATGGTAGGTTTATTTGAGCAGTGAGAGACAGAATAACAACAACAAAAATCCAGAAAAACGCATGTCAAAAATGTTATAAATTGATTTGCATTTTAATGAGGGAAATAAGTATTTGACCCCCTCTCAATCAGAAAGATTTCTGGCTCCCAGGTGTCTTTTATGCAGGTAACAAACTGAGATTAGGAGCACACTCTTAAAGGGAGTGCTCCTAATCTCAGCTTGTTACCTGTATAAAAGACACCTGTCCACAGAAGCAATCAATCAGATTCCAAACTCTCCACCATGGCCAAGACCAAAGAGCTCTCCAAGGATGTCAGGGACAAGATTGTAGACCTACACAAGGCTGGAATGGGCTACAAGACCATCGCCAAGCAGCTTGGTGAGAAGGTGACAACAGTTGGTGCGATCATTCGCAAATGGAAGAAACACAAAATAACTGTCAATCTCCCTCAGCCTGGGGCTCCATGCAAGATCTCACCTCGTGGAGTTGCAATGATCATGAGAACGGTGAGGAATCAACCCAGAACTACACGGGAGGATCTTGTCAATGATCTCAAGACAGCTGGGACCATAGTCACCAAAAAACAATTGGTAACACACTACGCCGTGAAGGAATGAAATCCTGCAGCGCCCACAAGGTCCCCCTGCTCAAGAACGCACATATACAGGGCCGTCTGAAGTTTGCCAATGAATATCTGAATGATTCAGAGGAGAACTGGGTGAAAGTGTTGTGGTCAGATGAGACCAAAATCGAGCTCTTTGGCATCAACTCAACTCGCCGTGTTTGGAGGAGGAGGAATGCTGCCTATGACCCCAAGAACACCATCCCCACCGTCAAACATGGAGGTGGAAACATTATGCTTTGGGGGTGTTTTTCTGCTAAGGGAACAGGACAACTTCACTGCATCAAAGGGTCGATGGACGGCCATGTACTGTCAAATCTTGGGTGAGAACCTCCCTCCCTCAGCCAGGGCATTGAAAATGGGTCGTGGATGGGTATTCCAGCATGACAATGACCCAAAACAAACAGCCAAGGCAACAAAGGAGTGGCTCAAGAAGAGGCACATTAAGGTCCTGGAGTGGCCTAGCCAGTCTCCAGACCTTACTCCCATAGAAAATCTGTGGAGGGAGCTGAAGGTTCGAGTTGCCAAACGTCAGCCTCGAAACCTTAATGACTTGGAGAAGATCTGCAAAGAGGAGTGGGACAAAATCCCTCCTGAGATGTGTGCAAACCTGGTGGCCAACTGCAAGAAACGTCTGACCTCTGATTGCCAACAAGGGTTTTGCCACCAAGTACTAAGTCATGTTTTGCAGAGGGGTCAAATACTTATTTCCCTCATTAAAATGCAAATCAATTTATAGCATTTTTTACATGCGTTTTTCTGGATTATTTTGTTGTTATTCTGTCTCTCACTGTTCAATTAAACCTACCATTAAAATTATAGACTGATCATGTCTTTGTCAGTGGGCAAACGTACAAAATCAGCAGGGGATCAAATACTTTTTTCCCCTCACTGTATGTATGTGTATGTGTATGTATATATATATATACACACACACACAACTGTGGAAAAAATTAAGAGACCACTGCACATTTTTCTTAAATCACCATCTCTACTTGTATGACAGCCATTCCATTCCCGTGTCTGTTAAATTCCAACACAGGCACACCTCATTCTACTGAATTAGGTACTGATTAGGTGATCACCTGAACCAAATCTTATTTAACGAGAAAAAGTATAAAAACCACTGCTGTGGTCAACACTATGATCTTGCAATAGGACCAGCTGGATGGAAAAAACAGTGCTAATAGTACCTCAAAAGTAATATTAATCAAAAAATAACAATTGACTATGCCAAAAGAGTTGAAAAGGAAAGTTTTGAGTGAGGAAAAGAAGGGTTCAATTCTGGCTTTACTGGTAGAGGGTAAATGTAATACAGTGAGCGTCAGGTTGCTTCCATCCTTAAAATTTCAAAGACGGAGGTTCATAAGAACAAGGTCAAGCAGCAGACATTGGGGACAACAAAGCTACAGACTGGCAGAGGGCGAAAACAACTCTACTGACCGGGATGACCGCCAACTCATTCGAATGTCACTCAACAACCGTAGGATGACATCAAGTGACCTACAAAAAGAATGGCAAACGGCAGCTTGGGTGAAGTGCACGGCGAGGACGGTTCGAAACAGGCTCCTAGGGGCAGGGCTGAAGTCGTTCAAAGCTAGAAAAAAGCCCTTCATCAATGAGAAGCAAAGAAGAGCCAGGCTGAGGTTTGCAAAAGACCATAAGGATTGGACCGTAGAGGACTGGAGTAAGGTCATCTTCTCTGATGAGTCCAATTTTCAGCTTTGCCCAACACCTGGTCGTCTAATGGTTAGACGGAGACCTGGAGAGGTCTACAAGCCACAGTGTCTCGCATCCACTGTGAAATTTGGTGGAGGATCAGTGATGATCTTGGGGTGCTTCATCAAGGCTGGAATTGGGCAGATTTGTCTTTGTGAAGGACGCATGAATCAAGCCACGTACAAGGTTGTCCTGGAAGAAAACGTGCTTCTTTTTGCTCTGACATTGTTACCCAACTCTGAGGATTTGTTTTTCCAGCAGGACAATGCGCCATGCCACACAGCCAGGTCAATCAAGGTGTGGATGGAGGACCACCAGATCAAGACCCTGTCATGGCCAGCCCAATCTCCAGACCTGAACCCCATTGAAAACTTCTGGAATGTGATCAAGAGGAAGATGGATGGTCACAAGCCATGAAACAAAGCCGAGCTGCTTGAATCTTTGCGCCAAGAGTGGCATAAAGTCACCCAACATCAATGTGAAAGACTGGTGGAGAGCATGCCAAGACGCATGAAAGCTGTGATTGAAAATCAGGGTTATTCCACCAAATATTGATTTCTGAACTCTGCCTAAGTTAAAACATTAGTATTGTGTTGTTTAAAAATGAACATTAACTTATTTTCTTTGCATTATTCGAGGTCTGACAACAGTGCATCATTTTTGTTATTTTGACCAGTTGTCATTTTCTGCAAATAAATGCTCTAAATGACAATGTTTTTATTTGGAATTTGGGAGAAATGTTGTCAGTAGTTTATAGAATAAAACAAAAATGTTATTTTTACCCAAACACATACCTATAAATAGTAAAACCAGAGAAACTGATAATTTTGCAGTGGTCTCTTAATTTTTTCCACAGCATATATATACACACACACATCATTGATTGCAACAGTATGCTGCCACATGAGAAAATGTAACAATGAACCAGACTCGTATGAGAACATTTAAACATTAACAAAGCGATTCCAACCTCACGAGTGCTGTTCCATAAAGCAAGACCAGGTCGTCAGCGTCAAGTTTTCCTGATCTGTCAAGTATTTGACATCTGACCAGGTCTGCTGTGCTTTCTACGGCGATGGGAGTATTGTGGGCAAACCTGAAAAAAATAAATCAAATGATGTGATAATATTTTTCGTCCAGGAACCGCTGTTTGTTCACCGGAAAACAGCAGTGGTGTGCAACCTCACTTAAACACGAACTAACGTTAGCTACAAGCTAAGCTAACACCAACTATTCCGCGAATATCTAGCTAACAAAATAGTAATTATGCAACAGGATAACATTATCTGAAGATCAAATACGTGTATCCCTTACCTGCCCTTCCACGCCGATATTCTGTGTAATGCATACTTTTGTAAAGCACAATCCTTTGAGTACAGATACTCAAGCACCTGGTCCCATTCTGCTTTGCTGATCCATGCAACTACATGGCCCTTTTTCTCGGTTGTTTTTTTCTTCATATTTACCAGCTAAAGAAACGACAGGAAGACAAAACAGATTACGCTTTTTACCTAGTTAATTGAGCTATAATGCAAAACATGTAGTTACCTAACCAAAATGGGACGCTCCAATGCTAACCTGCCAACACCCTCCACAGACCAGAGTGGGGTCGGTTAAATGCAACACCAAGAAACAGATACCGCGCAGAAAGGTTCCGCCATTGCCGTTGCACCCGCCAAATTATAATGATATAAATAGAAAAAACTCAAAAATAATAAGCAAATATAACAGGTAAAATCATACAATTATGGTGTCTAATGTATTGTCATAGGCTCCTGTTGGGTGTTGCGCATGAATGTAGGCTATAGCCTTACTCAAAGATGGGAAACTGGCGGCCTGCTGCCCCCCTTTTGTAGGCCCGCAGATAAAATTAAAATAACATTTTGTTCGTAACTCAGTCGGGGTCTCTACTTACTGTTGAGCGTTAGAATAGTAGAATACACAAGGTGAAATTTCGAAATTTGTTTGTTGCATCAGCAGTTTTTCTCTTATGTCAGTCAATGACAGTCACTCAATTAGCCCATGTCAGCAAAACATTTTAGATTGGTAAATTCGTCTAGCCAGCTATCTAAACTTGTACTAATCATGGTCAAATTACCGACCAGGGAGCCCCCAATGATTTTGTTTGTCACTCTCACTCAGATACCATATTAAAAACGGCAAACATTTCTCTCCGACCTATGGCAAAATTACTGGAATTGCATGGAATTAGTTATAAGTGTAGAATTGCAGCACATTTTCTTTAAAACTGCAACATGTTCTCTACACCCTATGGCAAAATGTGTAGAATTACAGGAAATTAACTCTAAAACTATCTATTTTATTCTCTGCTGTCAAGTGGGGGGCTGCTAACATTTTGCGTAGGGCCCCCAAAGGGCTAGAGCGGCTCTGACTGGATGCGTTGGTATGGATGTGGGTATGCAGACCCTCGAGTCACTGCAGCCCCTTGAGTTCAGATTTGTTGTGGCCCACACCCCCATCAAAGTTGCCCATCCCTGGCCAAACTTATTGTGAATTATAGTTTGTCTTATGGACAGGCTACTTTTTTGTACAGTTTAGCTTACTGGTATCAAAATGTGGCTTATATTTGTATGCATAGTGACAGGCCTTTATAGGGCTTGGCCTATCCTATTTCTGTAATTATTTCAGTAGCTGTCCATATACAGTAGGTTGTCCATGGGTCAGGGGAAGTGGAATGAGGCTATTTCTGTCTGGATTCCTTTTGAATGGATATCAATGAAGCATTTGCATACACAAAATGCACTTCATATGAAATGGTGATTATTGTATTGATTGGAAATTGTGTCATATGGGGGGTGTCAGACTATGTGTCACAAGAAAAAACTCGTCTGAGGTTCAATAATTGTTTGTAAAAATAAATGTTATTTAGCTCAGTTGGTAGAGCATGGCGCTTGCAACACCAGGGTTGTGGGTTCGATTCCCACGGGGGGCCAGTATGAAAATGTATGCACTCACTAACTATAAGTCGCTCTGGATACGAGCGTCTGCTAAATGACTAAAATGTAAAATGTATATTTATTCGATCCATTAGCCTATAAAAATATAGTTCTGACTAGGTGTTTGTTGAAAGAATAGGCAATGGCAATTTTAATCAAATATGCCTAACCACCCTATCCGGTTCACCTGTCCCAAACAGTGTGTTACCTTCAAAATGGTATTATAGCTTAGATTGAAAAACTGGAGTGAAATCAAATGTCGCTACTGACAGTAGCCTAGCTGTATGCTTATGGTATGCTGGAAAATACGTATATCGGAATTCAGTGGGGTATCCCGGCTTTAATTTATTTACGTATATCGGAATTCAGTGGGGTATCCCTGCTTTAATTTAAAGTCCAGGAATTTAGTTCAGCTGCTCACGTTCAACTTGAGTTTGACAAAGGAATAACGGGTCATTGCGAATACAGGCGGAGTCTGCTGAAAAACTCATTTTTGTATGTCTTCTTTGGGCTGGGTGTGGTTTTTCAGTCACATTGCCGTTAGCAGGAAATCAAGCTCTGTACCACCACTTTGAGGCGATACAAAGAAAATAGGAAAATACGAGCAGCCTTCTTTAGGTTGTGGGAAAAGTTTGAAATCAAAGTTTAACTGAACTTGACGGAGGATTTTGAGATTGTGCGCTTTATCTAATGGACACAATTTTTTGTTGACTCCATTGTTGCTATCATCCAATTCCTGACATCAGTGACTAAGGACAGATAACTGCGAAAATGCCGAAGACGGTGAGTAGCCTTTTTTAATGTGTGGGACCAGTTAAAAAAAATTAAATAAAATGTTTTACATAGAAATAAGACATTATATAAAACGCTATCTCTGGTCAAAATGTAGCTATCCAACTTGCGGTCTTGTTTGATCGAGAAAGATAATTTAGCCCATGACAGGCTATAAAGTAAAATGTTTGGATTTAAATTCTATAATTCTTCGAAAGCATATATTTGGCACATTTAACTCAATTAGCCTACTGAATGTGTCTGACTTTGTATAGCCTATGTAGGGCCATATAGGTTCAGAAAAGGTTTAGCGCGCCTCAAATGAATGAAAAGTGTATTTTAAAACATATATTTCATGTAGGGCAGGACGCTGTAGCCTATATTTTTTCTCTAGCATATCCTAAACTTGATTTATTACCGATTTCAAGGAATTGATACAATGTTGCTCAACGTTCTTTTTTGTTAGGCTACCCTAGGTTTGTGTCTATCCTATGAACCGTTATTTTGTGTCAACCTATGCGCCATCGGCAATCCCCCCTTCCTGGAACGTGATTGGCTTTTGAATGAACTTTCAAGAAGTTGAATAGGCCCTTGTTGGCTTCATATCAACTCGATCCCTATTGGGTCCGGTGAGGCGTTTCTGTAGTCTCGAGACTACAGAAACGCCTCACCGGATCCAATTCATATCAATGTGACCTATTAGTGTTGATTTTGTTTGCTGTAGGCCTACCGGATGTTCCCATTGCCCATTCGATGACGTTGTGTTTGTCTTTGTGGTACCCCGTAGTACAACAGCAAGTTTATGCACTCTTCAACAGTGGACTCCCATGTTAGCCTGTCCTACAGGCCTGCTATTGAGTGATGGAGGTCAGATCGCTTGCATTGTGCTCTATGAAAATATAGGCTATTCTAGGAGATACAGTATCTAGAAATGCAGGTTCTTAAAGTTTGATCTATGGCAAACCTTGGCCTAGATTACCAGGCCTGTGTGATTAGATATTTGCTATATAGTCCAGCCCAGGGAAATTTAGTTGAATGTAGAATCTACTGGATCAGTTCTATTGATGTTAAATAGCATTGCATTTGTAATTGATTTTATTTCTACGCTATCTTTATCAAGTATTTACACCAAATTAGGAACAATGAATAAGCCACTCGGTATTGCATCAGATTTTAGGCCAGAAAGACAGAACGTAAGACATCAGGATTTGAAAAATATGTTTTGCTTAATAAGAATCAGTTACTGCGATCAAATGCACCTCAGGTAATGACAGTAAAATAATGTGCAGTATTGTGACATTTAGCATGTAAGAATCAATTGTGAACTGATGAGAAGATTATAGTTGTATTTATTTTAATCTGTAGTTATGTATTGACATGTCTTTTCACAGAAGTCATCCATGTGTCCCCCTACCATTAGTGTAGGCTTTGGCTGTGCTTCTTTTGGCAATGTTATAGCTTCCCAAGGAACTGTAATCTAGTGACTCAAGGTTTCTAAGATTGCGTCAGTAACTTTTTAGCTATTTCCTGGCCTGCAGTCACTTGACGCTGCCACTGAAAGCCTTATTTGGTGTTTCACAGCACAGACTCCCCCTTCTCCGTCCTGTGCAACTGCATGGTCCTCAGGCAGTGTTTCAGCACTTGAGGTTTTTAAGCACTTCTACAGGTCACCCCATGTCAGAAATGATATGCTATGTTACATCAAGCAATTTTATTACATTCATAAAACCCTCTCATCACTAAAAAGTTACTTGCAGTCTGGTTAATTTTCTTTCAGATGTACCTTTAGACTCTAGAACTCTACACATCACTAATAAATGTGTTATTCTGTGAGGTTGCTTTCCTTCAGAACTATGATATTCTAATCAACAGCAATTTCTACTTACTACGGTCCAGTGAAGTGAAATACTATTATGGCATAAGTATAATTTTGTTAGTTGGTAAAGCCTTAGTTCTTCACAAACAACAAATAATAGAACCAAGTGAAGTGGAAAGTCCAGTGGTATGTAAGAAGGGGATTAAGCAGCTCTGTAAACGCACATAGCAGAGCTGAGATTAACAATTTGTAATAAACTAAACTACAGGCGGTAGAGTGTGTGAAAGGCAGAAATTATGCAAACCTTTGGGGGCTTCAGCCCGTAAATGGAGGGTATCTGTGCGGCAGGTCTGAAACATCTCTCTGGCTGCAGAAAACCAACCAGTGAGTTGTCTTTTGTTGTTTTTTGTGTGTTTTTGAGTTGATTTAGATGAGGTTTGTTAGAAACAGAACTTTATTTATTTTTTACACAGGATCTCACCCTAGGTTAGCATAAAGCACTGGACTATTACTAAGTTGGTAAGTGAACAGTAATGATTCTGATAACGACCTCATCAATTTGTACTGATAAGTGGTTGCTTTAAGGTGTTTGAATACAAAGGAGCTGGCATTATCTGGGATTCATGAACCTGATTTGAAAAAGGGCAAGTCATAGTACAGTGAGTTTAACTAACTTGAATCTAATATAAGACTCACAAACACATTCAATCTGAAAAAATATAAACATATAATTGAAATTCTTGTATTGATTCTGTAAAACTGTCTTTTGTGGGAGTTTATACAATTTGAGCGTTAATAGTTTGAGGCTAACCTAGTTCTCAGAATTAAAGTCAGAGAGAGTTTTTAGTTTCTACATCAGTGCATGTGGCTCAAATCTTCCTGTTTATGTTGTTGACCTTAAAACATACTATGAATACTTTTCTAATTGATTGTATTCCATTTGTGTATGGGAATATGTTTGTGAATGGTTAAAATTCACCTCCAAAAGTACGTGACCAAGAATCTAACATAGTATAAGGATTATCCATCAGTTCCTGATTTCCACTTATTTATGATTTTTGAATCCCCTTCAAAGTTTATTTGTTTGTATTTCAATCAGATGTCTTGAAGGGATGCAGTTGAAGGATGAGGCATTCCAAACATGTTGGAAAGAGAATTTGGAAAGTGGAAAATGTAACTTCCTTTTTTCCTAGTGATTGGTGTCCCAGTTTATAATCATTTGCGTACTTTACTGAAATACAGTCTATTGCTAAGATTTGTTATAGCTTTGTTTGCTCCTCAGTATGACCAAACGCCCTTTACAAGACAGAAAAGGCATTGAACGTTCCCAAGGCAGAATGGAAACATTAACATGGGTGATTTTGTAGCACCTACAGATTAAACATTATAGAGTCTTAAAGGAGACCTGGGTAAAGGCCTTTGCAGACTGTACAATTTTAGCCGTCTTATGCCACGATTTTGCTGTCCCAGACAAAATGTCCACGTCGTGGGCAAATTCTTAGGTTGTAAACAATTGTCGGATGTCTTGACTCGTTCAGTGTGACAGGGTCTAGGTCTGCCGATTAAGTACCACTACGTGCGGTCGTAGGCTCTGACAGTTCTGGCTGTGTCAGATTTTTTTTGCCTTTATCGTGTATTGTGTGTGACTGGAGTTATGAGGCGATCCCGATGACTGACCAATAGTAACACGGCCGGCACTGAGTATGTACACAATAATACGATTATTGTAAATAGTCAGATTAATATAATAGTTCGATTTAAACGTTTACATGCTGTGCAAGAATAACGATTTCCCTAATAATCTTGTTTACATGACACATCTGAAATCAGGCTACTTGAAATCCTCTGTAGCTCAGCTGGTAGAGCACGGCGCTTGTAACGCAAGGGTAGCGGGTTCGATCCCCGGTATCACCCATACGTAAAAATGTATGCACACATGACTGTAAGTCGCTTTGGATAAAAGCGTCTGCTAAATGGCATATTATATTAATTAATTGATGGGATTTTGATAAATCCGTAAAAAATATTTAAAAAAATAAAACGTTCTACCACCATGTTATTTTGGGGAAGCCTATTTGATTCTGAGTTTGGACATATAAAGCTTGTATGTGTAAATGATTTCGAAGATGCATACTTAAGAGTTTTTCCGAACTCACTTCACTCGCATAGAGAGAGGCTTGCGCTGCTGGTGCTGGCACATGCGCAGATCAAATACACCGCTGCAGTTGACGTAGCCTACGTCAGCTGACGTAGCCTCGAAAGTCAATCGCAGAATGTGACGACAGAATTGAAGGATATCGTACAATCTGGCCAGGTTGATATCAATATTTTAATTTGGTAACATCGCACAGTGTGACGTGATAATCGTAAAAGACTGAATCCGATGTACAGTCTGCAAAGACCAAAGGCCAAAATGTCACAACTATTCCAACTTAAATTAATTGTTTCAAAATGTTATGCTTTAAGATACACATTTCTAAAATATGTAATCAAACCTTCCTCCAAAGGACTCTTCTATGGATTACATTTTGTGAAAATCCCCAAATCATGGTCGGTTTTGTTCTAGTTTTGTGAGGAATCACCCACAAAACTATACTTGGTCCTGTTACTGAGAGTGATGTTTTGCTGCTGTTCTAATAATAGTGTGTGAGAAGTGTTCTGAGCACTGGCCATGTGAGACCCACCCTTACCAGGCAGAACTGCACATTCTTGGTTCCTTTTTTCCTGTGTGAGATGAACTATTTTTACCCAGGAAAGTCACTTCTTAACAACCCTTGACTGGCAGCCAAGGACCTGTTGGCCTGAACTACACAACAAAATAATGTCTAATCAGTAGGCTATGTCATGTTAAGCAGTTTGTCTGGTTGGCTGGGAAAATAGAGTATAGTGTATAGAGAAAATATAAAAGTGGTATGGTTTAGGGCAGTGGTTCCCAACCTTTTTCGCTTACTGTCCCACCAACAAAATGTTGGTCTGTCTGAACTACCCCTGAAGTAACCCCTCATGTGCATTTTACCAGTAAGCCTATGGTCACATGAGTCTTCTCAAGTACCCCCTGTGGATAGGCCAAGTACCCCCAGGGGTCCTAGTACCCCTGGCTGGGAACCACTGATTTAGGGGATTCAACAAAACAATGATGCAAATAAATGTTTAACATGGTGACAGAGGCACAATGTGGGTCTTACATGCAAATCTACTCTCAATGTCTTACTGGATCTTGTAAATTAGTGTCATTTAACAAATCTTAGTCACTGAAGTTATATTCAACTCACATTTGTTGGTGTGGCTCAGTTCATAGTTAGGGTAAACCATAAAAGGAATAGCTATTTTTTATTTATTTAACTAGGCAAGTCTGTTAAGAACAAATTCTTATTTACAATGACGGCCTACACCGGCCAAACCCGGACGACGCTGGGCCAATTGTGCGCCGCCCTATGGGACTCCCAATCACGGCCGGTTGTGATACAGCCTGGAATCGAACCAGGGGGTTTGTAGTGACGCTTCAAGCACTGAGATGCAGTGCCTTAGACCGCTGCGCCACTCGGCTATGGTGTTATAGGCTTTGGGGTTTTGGTCGATTTCGTTTTTGATTTCGAGGTTGGTTCTGTTTGGGTGTGGCTTGCCCTGATTGGATGTGTTGCAACTGTCGCCTTGTTAAACATTCTTTAGTTTCACCTGTGCTGGCACAGGTGACATTTTAGCACTGCAGAGCCTATGCGCCAGTTGGCATGAGAGATGTTGGAAGAGCTAGACTGCTGTTTAACTCTCCCGCTATGTTTGTGAATACAAAGCCTTTTATTTTGTGTCTCCCTGTTCGGTTTGCTCCACGTTTATTTTCACTCCCTAACCTAAGTTGGTGTGGGTTTTCTTTTCTTTTAGTTTAGTTTATCAGGCAAATCTAGTGGGTGTCCATGGTGGGTGTGTGTTGAGACTCGAGTTTGCTTGGCCAGCATTCAGTAGGCATGGATGCCTTTCAGAACCCATTTTAAAACCCCACCTGGTTTGTTTTGTTGTCAGTGACTCATTTGTTAGTTATCTTTTTATGTTGAGCAACGATTTTTGGTTGGTTATTGGGGAACGTAACAATGGCAATAGACAGTTATAGGCCCTAACTTGTTTACAAATATAAGTTATCGCTCATGAAATAGCCTGCAAATGCACTTAAAGCTTCATTTCACTGGTAGATATTGCCAGAAAATGGACAGAGGAAATGAAACATTCAGCTAACCACTCCCTAGAAAACTGGGCCTTCATTTTGTATGAAATACAAAGTTGATTTATTAATCTCTCCCCCACAACGTTAGGTAACACCTTTGAGATGTGTCCAGATCGTGTTAAGTCATACGTTTTAATAAAACAAGGAACTCAAATATGCACTGTTGAGTGGCGTAGAATTTGTTTCAGAACCAACCATGTTAAAGGTTTGTACTAATTACTTGTAGATGGCTGAATGTGTCTGGGTCGTTGGTGAAGCCTAAATGAGATTAATGTTCACGGTAGTTAGTTCCTGCTCCTACAGGCCTCGGTCCAGTCACAGCTCTACTCTACAGCCCTCTACTCTGTGTGCCGCCTCAGTCCAGCCACTCCAGTCCTCTGCTCTGTGGCGCCAGTGATGGCAGGAAGTGGCAGGATGACAAGTGGCCTGACCAGCGAATGGGGCCTGCTGACACAAAGGGGAAAGAACGCAGCCCTAATCAGCCACACAGCTGGGAAATAAAGCATGCCATTGTGGCTCAGCTCAGGCGTGGGCCTCAGGCCTGCTCAGTTATTTCCCCGCCACATACACACACACACTCAAACACAGGCTGGCTGATTGTGCATGTTATCTCTGAGAGGACAGAGAACATGGAGCCATGTCAATATAGCTGTATTAATCACTCACAGCGTGGGATGAAAATATGTTTAGGGTGCACAGCAGGAGGAAGCTTGTATACCATAAGACAGGCAGCATATACTCATTTGTTGCATTCCTTTTATGGGCATATTCCATTTGTTTCTAATTCATACTAGCTATAAGACTGCTGTGAGTGTTGGGCCATGATGTAGTGGTCTAAAGACTGAGATATCCATGATGGCTAGCTCATCAGGTTTTGTATGCCTGCTGTTATATAAATCATTCTAAAAATAAGGCTACTTTTCTTTATTCCACTTGTGCAGTTACAAAAATGGCAGAACTTGCAACTTTTTATCATAATTACGTATAGGCCTACAGTAAATGTCATATGAGGGCAAAACAGTGCGATAGAGAGCTACGTGTCCTTTTTGCATGCATGTGTGTGTGTGTGTTAAGAAATCAAAAAGAGAAATTGTGCTGGTGCAATCACTGAGCACACGTTATCTCTGAGAGGAAGGCAGGCAAGCAGCAATGTGATGCATTACAGGATGTAGTGTTAGTGAGCTCCATGTTGGGCGGCCCACCCTTGCTTTGCGAGGCCCAGCTACCAGAGGATGTGGTTACTTCCTGTAGTGAAGCAGCTTGGTAGAGAGAGAGAGCTGGGGGACAACATGTCCGCTTAGCATGCGAAAACCCCAAAAGTATTTCTGCCACTCATTTAGAGAGGTATACTGGCCAGATGCAAAATTATTTAATTTGACACAGTTTTAGTATACCTCATAGTAGCTGTAGGTAGTTTTTACTTCTATGTGAAATCTACTCCCACTAAATTCTGTTTAACATTCTGTTAGTGTAGTGGACAAATTTTATCGCATCATTAAGATAAAATATTTATTTCCCTTTTGGTTTCTGTGAAGTCAGTGTGCCTCTTTTTCCAATATAAGCTAATAATACCTCATTGCGCTGTCTCCCTCAATGGGTTTCCTGCAATTGTTTTTTCCAGGGTTTGAGGCTGATCAATCATTTTAGTCTAGCACCTCCCCTAATTGTCTGTACCAGGCACGGAAAATGGCGTCTCTCCCACATTGTACATATTTGAAACATTGTAATTGTCTGCCCCACCCTCCCCTCTCTAGTGAGTAAGGGAGTTGAAATTAACATGCATATTAATTATGTCTCAAAGGAGTATACCCAAAGAGTATTTAATGGAGTAGGATGGACATGCAACAGCTCTCAAATAAAGACAAAAATGTTTCACACTGCTTTGATAAAAGTCATGGTTGAGTGTTAGTCTCAGATATCCCAGACCTGGGAGCAACGTAAGCTAGGCAATGGCACTGGAGCATTGGAACATTGCTGGAAGCAACCCAACTGTCTAGAATGACTAGTTGAGTGTCAGCCTAAATTGTTGTATTATGGCTTTTGCTTACTGCCTGTTGAAAGCAGTATTTGGAACCTAACGTACTATGATGCCTTGGCTGCCTGCTCTGTTCAGTAGTTATCAGTTTATAAACCACTGACATTTTGGATGAAACATATCTGACAACCCACATACACACCATTTATTCTGAAAGTGTGTGGGTCCACCTTGTTATAACCATAAATCTTTCATGAGATGAAGGCAATTATAAGTAACACTGCCAAAATGTTTAATCAAAAAATGACTTTGCCAAGTTAGTGTGCTCATATGCCTGGCCCTATGTTGTCATGTAGGTGCACTCCTGCCCTGCTGTGAAACTCTACTGCCTCCGGTCATAGAATGAGGGTTCATAGAACGATGGTTCATTCTAATGCCTATAAGGCCTATTCCCTTTTGATCAATCCAAAAAATTAATTCTGTATATAAATGTATATATTTATTAGCATAAATCATAAGTAAGTAACTCTAACAGTCTCTATAATCAATGTAGACTGATCCAACATGCTATTGATTCTCAATCTCAAATTCTCAGAGGCATCTAATGTGATAATCACTTTGTTGTAAATTAGGTACACCGACACAACTAACTTTTATTTTGATGGGATTCACTGGTTGTCAGTCACAGCGTACTAACTCATGTTGTTTTCTTTAACAGATTAGTGTGCGAGTTACCACGATGGATGCAGAGTTGGAGTTTGCCATCCAGCCCAACACAACGGGAAAGCAACTCTTCGACCAGGTAAAAACAATGCTTGCTCTGCTGAAACATGCTAATGGTTTTGCCTCCTCAGTGGCAAATTGCACGTTCTTGTGGTGCTTTTCTTCTAATGCCAATCAATGTAAATTGCAAGCTGGGGAATGGAAGCCCAGGTGTGGGACTGGAGTGGAGGGTTTATTTTTATAGGAACTCTCACTCTCTCACTGTTCTTCTCATTGAATAAATATGTTTGCTATTGCGTAGGCCTGCGATCAAAACATTTTTGGGGGCTCCAGAAGTTTTTTGTTATATATATAGAGTGCCTTCAGAAAGTATTCAAACCCCTTGATTTTTTCCAGATTTTGTTAGGTTAAAGCCTTATTCTAAAATTGATCAAATCGTTTTTGTCCACTCATCAATCTACACACAATACCCCATAATGGCAAAGCAAAAACAGTTTTAGACATTTTTGCTAATTTATAAAATAAAAAAAATGGAGATATCACATTTACATAAGTATTCAGACCCTTTAATCAGTACTTTGTTGAAGCACCTTTGGCAGCGATTACAGCCTCAATTCTTCTTAGGTATGACGCTACAAGTGTTGCACACCTGTATTTGGGGAGTTTCTCCCATTCTTCTCTGCAGATCCTCTCAAGCTTTGTCAGGTTGGATGGGGAGCGTTTCTTCACAGCTATTTTCAGGTCTCTCCAGAGATGTTTGATCGGGTTCAAGTCCGGGCTCTGGCTGGGCCCATCAAGGACATTCAGAGACTTGTCCCGAAGCCACTCCTGCGTTGTCTTGGCTGTGTGCTTAGGGTCGTTCTCCTGTTGGAAGGTGAACCTTCGCCCCAGTCTGAGGTCCTGAGTGCTCTGTAGCAGGTTTTCATCAAGGATCTCTCTGTACTTTGCTCCGTTCATCTTTGCCTCAATCCTGACTAGTCTCCCAGTCCCTGCCGCTGAAAAACACCCCCACAGCATGATGCCACCACCATGCTTCATCATAGGGATGGTGCCAGGTTTTATCCAGACGTGACACTTGGCATTCAGGCCAAATAGTTCAATCTTGGTTTCATCAGACCAGAGAATCTTGTTTCTCATGGTCTGAGAGTCTTTAGGTGCCTTTTGGCAAACTCCAAGCGGGCTGTCATGAGGAGGGCCTTCCGTCTGGTCACTCTACCGTAAAGACCTGATTTGTGGAGTGTTACAGAGAATGTTGTCCTTCTGGAAGGTTCTCCCATCTCCACAGAGGAACTCTGGAGCTCTGTCAGAGTGACCATCGGGTTCTTGGTCACCTCCCTGACCAAGGCCCTTCTCCCCCGATTGCTCAGTTTGGCCGGGTGGCCAGCTTTAAGAAGAGTCTTGGTGGTTCCAAACTTCTTCCATTTAAGAATGATGGAGGCCACTGTGTCCTTGGGGACCTTCAATGCTGCAGACATTTTTGGTACCCTTCCCCAGATCTCTGCCTCGACACAATCCTGTCTCGGAGCTCTACGGACAATTACTTCGACCTCATGGCTTGGTTTTTGCTCTGACATGCACTGTCAACTGTGGGACCTTATATAGACAGTCGTGTTTCATGTCCAATCAATTGAATTTACCACAGGTGGACTCCAATCAAGTTGTAGAAACATCTCAAGGATGCTCAATGGAAACAGGATGCACCTGAGCTCAATTTCGAGTCTCATAGCAAAGGGTCTGAATACTTATGTAAAGGGGTCTGAATACTTTCCGAGAGGGTTAGAACTCCATCCCACCAAAACAGGCTGAAATATCAGGCGGTCTTTTCAAACAGCTCTTACACTAAAAGGGCATTATCATAATTTTCACAATTTCACAGTATTATTCCAACCTCATAGTGTGGAAATATATATAAAAAGAAAATCACATTTTTGATTGCACTGGGCCTGCAGATACAGTGCATTCGTAAAGTTTTAAGACCCCTTCACTTTTTCCACATTTTGTTACGTTACAGGCTTCTTCTAAAATTGATTAAATAAAAAATGTTCCTCATCAATCTACACACAATACCCCATAATGACAAAGCAAAAACAGGTTTTCAGAAATGTTAGCAAATTTATGGGGTATTGTGTGTATATTGATGAGGGAAAAAAACATTTTAATCAATTTTAGAATAAGGCTGTAACGTAACAAAATGTGGAAAAAGTCAAGGGGTCTGAATACTTTCCAAAGTATATACAGTACCAGTCAAAAGTTTGGACACACCTACTCATTCAAGGGTTTTTCTTTATTTTTACTATTTTCTACATTGTAGAATAATATTGAAGACATCAAAACTATGAAATAACACATATGGAATCATGTAGTAACCAAAAAACTAATCAAAATATATTTTATATTTAAGATTCTTCAAACAGCCACCCTTTGCCTTGATGACAGCTTTGCACACTCTTGGCATTCTCTTAACCAGCTTCATGAGGTAGTCACTTGGAATGCATTTCAATTAACAGGTGTGCCTTCTTAAAAGTTAATTTGTGGAATTTCTTTCCTTCTTAATGTGTTTGAGCCAATCAGTTGTGTTGTGACAAGGTGTGTGTGTGTGGGGGGGTACAGAAGATAGCCCTATTTGGTAAAAGACCAAGTTCATATTATGGCAAGAACAGCTCAAATAAGCAAAGAGAAACGACAGTCCATCATTACTTTAAGACATGAAGGTCAGTCAATACGGAACATTTCAAAAACTTTGTCATTTTATTCAAGTGCAGTCGCAAAAACCATCAAGTGCTATGATGAAACTGGGTCTCATGAGGACCACCACAGGAATGGAAGACCAGAGTTACCTCTGCTGCAGAGGATAAGTTCATTAGAGTTACCAGCCTCAGAAATTGCAGCCCAAATAAATGCTTCATAGAGTTCAAGTCACAGACACATCTCAACATCAACTGTTCAGAGGGGACTGTGTGAATCAGGCCTTCATGGTCGAATTGCTGCAAAGAAACCACTACTAAAGCACACCAATAAGAAGAAGAGACCTGCTTGGGCCAAGAAACACGAGCAATGGACAGTAGACCGGTGGAAATGTGTCCTTTGGTCTGGAGTTCAAATTTGAGATTTTTGGTTCCAACTGCTGTGTCTTTGTGAGATGCGGTGTGGGTGAACGGATGATCTCCGCATGTGTATTCCCACCGTAAAGTATGGATGAGGAGGTGTTATGATGTGGGGGTGCTTTGCTGGTGACACTGTCTGTGATTTATTTAGAATTCAAGGCACACTTAACCAGCATGGCTACCACAGCATTCTGCAGCGATACGCTATCTCATCTGGTTTGGGCTTAGTGGGACTATTGTTTGTTTTTCAACAGGACAATGACCCAACACACCTACAGGCTGTTAAGGCTATTTTACCAAGAAGGAGAGTGATGGAGTGCTGCATCAGATGACCTGGCCTCCACAATCCCCCACTTCAACCCAATTGAGATGGTTTGGGATGAGTCGGACCGCAGAGTGAAGGAAAAGCAGCCAACAAGTGCTCAGCATATGTGGAAACTCCTTCAAGACTGTTGGAAAAGCATTGCAGGTGAAGCTGGTTGAGAGAATGCCAAGAGTGTGCAAAGCTGTCATCAAGGTAAAGGGTGGCTATTTGAAGAATGTCAAATATAAAATATGTTTGGATTTGTTTAACACTTTTTTGGTTACTACATGATTCCATGTGTGTTATTTCATAGTTTTGATGTCTTCAGTATTATTCTACAATGTAGAAAATAGTAAAAAATAAAGAAAAACCCTTGAATGAGTAGGTGTGTCCAAACTTTTGACTGGTACTGTATATCTGGTAAAAGGCTGACATTTGGATGTTTCAATTAAAAAAGCCTGTCACATAACTATAGAAATTGAAACATTGTGATTTCATTGTGATTTCAGAGACACAAAGTAACAATAACCTATGATTAAAGGGTTAGGCTATACTGGGCTCTCAACATCGTCATCATTATTCACATCATTCCAATTTAATCAATTCACAATTATCAGTTTTGGTGTTGACATCAATGAACATTCTTTCCGAGTGAGGAGTGACACATGGGTAGGCCTACAAAAGGAAAACGTCTGAAAACGAAAATGATTATGAAATTAGAGCCACAGAAACCTAACGTCTGCCTTTCCCCCTACATTTGAACAGTCTACTAAGTCAATTTAATGTAGGAAAATATCACCAAATCCATTTAGGCTATGTCCTTTCATTTAGTCTCAATATGATAGGGAAAATGTAGGGTATTTCAAAAGAACAGAATACCATATTTTGAGTTGACTCTATAGGCCCGGGATGGGCAACTCCAGTCCTCTGGGGCCTGATTGGTGTCACACTTTTGCCCCAGCCCCAGCTAACACATCTGGACTGGAGTTGCCCATCCCTGGTATAGGCTATACTAAAGATCTATCCAAGGTTCAACTTTAAGGCAAGGGCATCTTTTTAAAACTATTTTGATACTCACGTTAAGTCTTGATAATATGAATGAGAATGTAGTCAATTTTGTTTTGAAATCAGTATTTGTCCATCTCTCCCATTCTTCCCATTTTAAATAAAAAAATATGCCTGAGAGATTCACAAGACTTTAACATTGGAATGTTGTAAAGTGCTGCCCTACCCTGGCTGGTGAGGACACTGGGGGGAATAATAGGCACACAAACTGAAGAAGACTATTTAGTATTTTATTAATTTAAGATTCTCACCAAGACATGCAGACAGACAAACAGTACAGTAGGCTATACATTGCACAAGAAGAGTATAGGCTATTTTAAGAGATTTAAGAGAATGAATGCAATTATATGCTGCTAATGAACAATAACTTGGCCCAATCAATTACCTTTGAAACTATCCTCTTTGAACTGCCAGATCTGAATAAATCGGTTGGATGGATGGCTTCGATTGTCAGCAATCAAATTGCAAGTCGTTCATTTGCCAATAATCCAAATAGTCTGCTTAAAAAGACCTTGCACTGCTACCCTCAGTATTCATTCTTCTTAGAGGTCAGAACAAGCAACCGGGACGTCACCAGAGTTTCATAACCAGGGGCATGAAGGCTACACCTTCAGACGGTAACGACAGACCGCAAAGTCCTTCTGGAAGTGCACCGAATATGATGCTTTCGAATGCCAAAGTTGCATAACGCTCACTGACGGGGTTATCTCCAAGTTATGCTGGATACGCGGTTCTTTCAGCGCCCCGAACAACTTGAGGAGCTCCTGACATACTTTCAGGCAACATGGGTTGGAGAGAAGGTCGGACGCATTGGAGAAAACCAATGTTTCCCATAGGTAGGAAATGTCCTGTTTAACATAATAATGTTTTTATTATTCGTATTCTTATTATTGATGGCAGTATGCCCAAGGCCAATAACATGGATGCTAATCTGTTTATATCTCTCTTATTTCTTTATTTTTAAATTATGGAGCTGATACGATGCTGTCCTGCAAGACTTGGCGAAGACCAACAACGGAGTGGAGGGCTGCTGGCATCGAACATTTTTGGCGAATTTTGCGCTTACCACCCCACCATTTGGAAGTTCATCGAGGCATTTCAATGACAGCAGCAAAGACGTGAAATGAGAATGGAGCAGCAACTTGCTGGCGTTTCTCTACCATGGCAAAGACCCCTCTACCGCAAGCAACAGAAGGATCAGAAGTCACTAGTTCAGAAGTACACCACGATTGAACGGCTGGAGTCTTACCTGAAGAGCGTTGCCTACACTTTCAAGTTGCAGTTGTGAATACTCCAAAATCCATCTGAGAAAAATGAGCACCTAGCCCACTTGGACACGTCTTCATGACACATCAATTTCAACCCTTTCAATGACTCCAAAATCCCAATGAGGGAAAATGTGTTAATGAACTTGTTTTTATGGCGCTGCATTGTCATGTAGAATACTCTTATTTTTTGTATTGTTTGGTTATTTGAAATAAATGTTTTAGAACTACTTAGTTTTGCCATATTCTTTTTAAGTATTTTGCTACGCTTTTTTGTTGATAAAGAAAGGTTTTATAGTGAATTGTTCGTGTTAATGGATAGTGTAAGAACTACATAATACGAAAATACATGATTTAAAACGAAAATACATTGTAGAAACTAGATATTGGCTGTTTTTAGCCTTCAGCCTTTATATAACCATATGAACGAATTTATATAGGCCTAGATTACAATATTCTGCCCATATGAAGGAATGTATATACAATATTTGTAGCCATACATTATTTAATGAAAAGCAGTAAACATACACATTTAATAATAGACTCATAAACACAATCAGGCAATAGTTAACATACACAACATTGTTTCACATTTTTTAATAACTGACTCATAAACAGAATCATGCAATAGGCTACAGCTGGCTTCACAGCTTCCCCGGCGCTTCACAGCTTCCCGGGGAAAGTCGATTTATTGTAGCCTCACGTGGAGGAAAGGGTAGCGGAGGCAGGCGTTCGCTTCTGCTGCAGTGTTCACGGTAAAATATTACGAGTTGTAGCGGTGCTTCGGATTTGTCATTAAACTATCTACCCACCCTAAGCTTACCCATCTCAACTCAAGGCCGGCTCAATCAAATCAGATGACTGTGTAGAACTGGGTGATTTGGTGATGGTGTGGTGTGCAGGCAGTGGTAGTGTGTTTAAACTGTCTTCTTAATGGGAAACACCCCCACCAGCTCCTCTCCAAGGCTGTTTACACAGCATATGTGCCTCCTCCAAGGTATTTAGTGCATGAGTGGTCATCAGTCCCTAGCCGTCTCAAGCTGTACCATGCCTGCCTGTCTGTGTGAGGAGAGGAGAGGAATGTATGTAGAGATTGGTGCTTGGTGCTTGGCGCTTGGCGAGCCGTTTTGGTCCCACCAGTGTTAAAGTGGCACTCTCAGACACAAACACATCATGGCTGTATGGCAGGCCAGCCTGGCCTCAGATTACATCTCTATTGTTTTAGCAGAGGGGCCAGACACTCTCTGAATCACCCCAAGGCATCCATCACCAATTTTATAATGGACCTATCTCACTTAATGCTTATAATCACATAGATTATTAATTTGTTTCTATTACTTTTATTATTATTAATTTTTAAACTTAATGTGGACTTTGTTGTCCAGACATATCTGTGTCAGGACAGCCACAGACCCCTCTAAGTGACGTTTGATGTAGTGGGCAATCTGGGCAGGGGACTGGATGACTCCCTCCACAGCCATTAGATAAGATTACAGAGTTTCCACTCTATTTTTACTCAGGCAATCAGAAATAGAGCTGTATGGTGCAACAATGCTGAAGCACTAAATGTAATATGTGACTTAATTCTTATTTAAATCTGGTTAAGATTTTCGTAATACATAAAATGGATGCCTTTCACCAGTTAGCCTAATGGATCCAACGCCTCTGTTTGTTTGTGTGTGTGAGAGAGAGATTATGTACTGATATAACAAATATCAATGTCTAGGGTAGAAAATTAGGAGTTAAGTTATGTTGAGCAAGTTTAAACTGCTGTTCACCACCTAGGTCCAAGCAATTACTCTTAGGAAATGGCTGGCAACTGCATTATCCCTCAGGCCAGCATTTACGTATTTATATCCAATTTTGTGATGAGTTCAGTGTGTTTAAAAATTCAAGCAGTTACAATTTTGGCATTAGGTTTAGCTTTGAAATGGTTATTTGATACAGTGTTATATTGAAACTGATAATGAAATCAAGAAGGTTATTCATTGAAAAGATAACATTTACATTTACATTTTAGTCATTTAGATAAGTAGATTATCTATGCACTAAACTAAGATGATTCTGTATTCATACTTCAGTAAAAGTGCTTTAATATAACTCTATAGAACGTCTAAACCTGAGAGGATTAGATCCTTATATTGTTTTCAATGAATGACTCAACCATCATGCACCATTACCAACAGTAAATTAAAACCTGACATGAAACAAGAATGTCACGTAACACTGTTTTCACAGACAATTTAACACAATTAACCCCTGTTGAGAGCTGGGTTACATTTCAAAAATTGTGTGCCCTAAGGTTGTGAAGACAATCGGACTGCGGGAAGTGTGGTTCTTCGGACTGCAGTACCAGGATACAAAAGGTTTCTCAACATGGCTCAAGCTTAATAAGAAGGTGAGTGCCTCCATTTAAACAAGGACATAGTGAACAAGGCTTCCATGCCACCTTACACTCTTAGAAGTAAAGGTGCCTGGAAAAACAGTTTTTGGTTGCCACACCGGCGGAACCTTTCCAGTTGAAAAGGAACCCCTCTGAAAAGGGTCTTCGAGGAACCCCTGTGTAAAGGTCGAACCGGATACTTTTTGTGTTGGAAAGGGTTCAATTTTGAACCTTTTTAATAATATATTGTAGAGGTGGCAGCCTATCAGATTGGAGGCATGGCTTGTTGGAGGCGATGCTTTCAGATAGTTATTTATGGTCACCCGTTAGCGTAAATGTCATTCCTGTTCAACATGTTAAGTTCGTACTCTGTAAATTAATATGTTCCTTGAATATTTATGCAAATATATATTCTTATATAATATTAATAATATTAATATTGCTGACTACATACAGTAATAAAGTGGTAGCTATTCAAATTTTGGGATTTGCATATGCTCTTGAGGAACTCATACATCTCTGTCAGTGTTCAACCTTAATGTGATGACAATACAACAGAACAGATGAACAGGAATGACATTTACTCTAATGGATGGCCAAACAAATATCTATCTTAAAGCCACACCCCTACCAAGCCACGCCTCCACTCCAGGGTTCCTCCAGGAACCCCTTGCTACATTGAACCATAAAGGTTCCTCCAAGAACCCCTCAACTAACCGAAGGTGCAAATATTAACCTTTGACTAGCAATGGTTCGTTGAAGAACTCCAGGGGTTCCTTGAGGATGTCCAGGGTTCATTGAGTCACCACAAATTCTAAGAGTGTAGGTAAAAGAGAAACTGCTCCTGGCGCCTCCACTCAGCTGTATGACCCCTGACCCTAGGTGACTGCCCAGGATGTGAGGAAGGAAAGCCCACTGCTGTTCAAGTTCCGGGGAAAGTTCTTCCCTGAGGACGTGTCAGAGGAGCTGATCCAGGAGGCCACCCAGAGGCTGTTCTTCCTGCAGGTGAAGGAGGGGATCCTCAATGATGACATTTACTGCCCCCCGGAGACGGCTGTGCTGTTGGCCTCCTACGCCGTGCAGGCCAAGTACGCTGACTACAACAAGGACATCCACTCGCCAGGATACCTGTCCAGCGACAAACTGCTGCCTCAGAGGTGAGGCCTCCACCATCTCTAGAGTTTACATAACACCTTTTGATTGGACCTCCATACTCTCTCTGCCATAAACAGTCTATTGTGGCATACTTTGTTTTTAAAGTGTCATTTAATGTTGTCTTCGTGTTTTTAGAGTCCTGGACCAGCACAAGCTCAACAAGGAGCAGTGGGAGGAGAGGATCCAGGTGTGGCATGAGGAACACAAGGGCATGCTCAGGTACTGAAACACACACACACAGACACACACATTACTTACCCCTCCTAGCTCTGTTGTCCCTGGCCTGAAAAACATCTGCCTCTATTGGTTTCAATTGAAAGTTCTATATCTCTCTGCACAGTACGACATACCACGTCATGTGGAAAATTGCTTTAGCTTCTTTCATAGAGTGAATAGATTTGCACTCTGAGAGCTTGAGTATGTGAAAGCATGTGCTGTGATTTTGAAGCATCTTGACAATCAACTCTTATTGAGAATTATTTTGGCAGCTACCCAGCTGGTAGTCTTTTAATAACTTAACAGCTTGTGTTCCTTCTGTGCTTAATGACTTGATTTATTTTACCCACACAGAGAGGACTCAATGATGGAGTACCTAAAGATCGCTCAGGACCTGGAGATGTACGGTGTCAACTACTTCAGCATCAAGAACAAGAAAGGATCAGAGCTATGGTTAGGAGTGGACGCCCTCGGACTCAACATTTACGAACAGAATGATAAGTGAGTGACTCATGTAGAAATGTACACCACATGGGTACTCACACATATGGGACTGAAAGCTGTTATACATATGCTGTACAAACTCAGGTCTAATGGTTGTTTTCTGATTGTGACGAAGTGTAAATGAGAACGCAAATATCACTGTGTTGATATCACATTTTTGCCTCAACAGGATGACACCTAAAATTGGATTCCCATGGAGTGAAATCAGGAATATTTCCTTCAACGACAAGAAGTTTGTCATCAAACCCATTGACAAGAAAGCACCAGTATGTAACCACCAATGCCCTCTCTGTACTTATGGTTAAAGGAATACTGCGAGATTATGGCAGAGTCAGATGAGCCCAGAGTCAGATGAACTCATGGATACCCATTTTATGTCTCTGCGTGCAGTATGAAGGAAGTTAGAGGTAGTTTCGCGAGCCAATGCTAACTAGCGTTAACGCAACAACTGGAAGTCTACAGGTATGCTAGAGTATGCAAAACTACCTCTAACTTCCTTCCTACTGCATGCAGAGACATAAAAATGGTATCCACGAGTTCATCTGACTCTGTGTAATTAGAAAAACGAATCTCGCATCTGCTAAAGGGTGTATGCGACCAATAAACCTTGATTTGATAAAGTTATAAAGTATTTACTAGGGAGAGAAATTATTATTGTTGCCATAATACTTTTTTTTATAAAGATTACTGGTACTCACACGTGTTCTTTCCTAGGACTTTGTATTCTATGCTCCACGACTGCGTATCAACAAGCGCATCCTGGCACTCTGCATGGGCAACCATGAGCTGTATATGCGTCGCCGCAAACCAGACACCATCGAGGTACAGCAGATGAAGGCCCAGGCCAGAGAGGAGAAGAACCACAAGAAGATGGATAGGTCAGTGTCACTACCACCGCACTGTAGTTACTGCTTACAAGTCTATTTCAAGACTTCAGAGACCTGTGGTTACTCCAGCCTCTGTCTTTGTATCGTCCTTGTATCAGCCCAACAGCAATGCTCAAAAAGAAAGCTGAACATGAAGAGCATCAATGGATCATTTCTAACATTAAAATCACAGCAGACTGTTGTGGGTGGCAACTGGTGGCCACTGGCCAGACATTATTGTCTGACGGTCTTTGTTATGAGTGGATGCTTCTTACTAAAGTCCCTCTAACTTCAGTAGCCATCAGAACATTGACAGATCTCTTTAGCTAATGTTTAGGTTGGCCTATTGTCTGATAAAGAAGGCTTGAAAATGTTAGGAAGTTGTCCATGTTCCCTCCCTTCTATTTCCCTGTTTACTCTACGGCATCTGTCAACCAGGGCACTGCTGGAGAACGAAAAGAAGAAGAGAGAACTTGCTGAAAAAGAAAAGGAAAAGATTGAAAAGGAGAAGGAGGATCTTATGGAGAGACTGAAACAGATTGAGGAACAGACAAAAAAAGCTCAGCAAGGTTGGAAACCCCCTATGACTGTAGAACGAATAAATAAGAGAAAACCTATTATCTTTACTTAAAGCTTGGAGTCTTATAAGAGAGTGGTTGTTCATCACTTATTATTGCTTATTGTCTAAATACACATATGTTGTGTGTGTTCACCCAACACACTATAAAGCACTGTAAGACCTAATGTAACCTTTATTTAAGCAAGTTAGTCTTGTTGAGAGAAAATCTATTTTGCAAGAGAGACTTAATGAAGCTACAGGACATGTAGTCCGTTCTGTCTATTATCATCATTACTGTTTGTGTGCAGAGTTGGAGGAACAGACGCGGAAGGCCCTGGAGTTGGAGCATGAGAGGAAGCGTGCTCAGGAGGAGGCGGAGCGTCTGGAGAAGGAGCGCAGGATGGCTGAGGAGGCCAAGACTGCCCTGCTCCAGCAGTCTGAGAACCAGATGAAGAACCAGGAACACTTGGCGAGTTACCCACACATTACACACATTCACCAACAGCACACGCAGTGTCAGCACGTAGCATTGTGCTACAGAGTGATGAGCTACTGAGTAATGTGATGATTGTTAATTACTGTAGTTAATTTATTGGAATAAAACAAATCATTTATTATTTGTATTGTACAGAAACATGTATTATCATGATCGTTAATAAGCTAATTGTAGAAATTGTGAAATGTATGAACATTGTTTAACTTCTAGTTTTCTGACTGTGGTAGTATTCACATGGTTTGGAAATGAAAATAAGCAAACATCTGAACCTTTCCAATCCAAACGCATGGAAAGAAAGTGAAAATACTGTTTTTCCCCACAGGCCACGGAACTGGCTGAGCTGACCTCAAAGATCTCCCTACTGGAGGACGCCAAGCAGAGGAAGGAGGATGAGGCAACGCAGTGGCAACAGAAGGTGTGGTCTCAGCTACTGCTCTCCTCATTCACTCTGACCTCCCCCACCTTCTCAAATTGTTTAGTCCCATGTGTCATTAACTACATCCAATGTTGCAGTAATTCATCCATTAGAACAAAGTGAAGATTAGGATTAACCATAGCCTAGCATTCAAGTATAGCTCTGATATGTTATTCTGAAGTTATAACAGTTGGACACTGTTTGTTTTAAGATACCATACTTAAGGCACAGACACACCGGTAGCGTATGTCGGCTGAGAGTACTGAGCACCTCTGAACAGAGTGCCAGCCGTAATTTGCAAACTGTGTGCAAAATGACGGCAGTCAGAGGCGCCCACAGGCAGGTGGTCCCTAAAACACACCTTGCTGAACGAACTGCAAACGAACGGCAGATGAACGGCAGATCGACATTCGGTGCGGTGTATGCGCTCCCTTAAGGTAAATGTGGATCTAGCGTTCGTCTCCGATCGTTCAGCGCGCTGTGTTTTAGGGACCACCCGCTGTAATCGTCTGACTGCCCCAAAAAATCACACGATTCTACATCACGGATGACACTCTGTTCAGATGGCACTCTGTTCAGATGACACTCTGTTCAGATGGCACTCTGTTCAGATGGCACTCTGTTCAGATGGCACTCTGTTCAGATGGCACTCTGTTCAGATGGCACTCTGTTCAGATGGCACTCTGTTCAGATGGCACTCTGTTCAGATGGCACTCTGTTCAGATGGCACCCTGTTCAGATGGCACTCTGTTCAGATGGCACTCTGTTCAGATGGCACTCTGTTCAGATGACACTCTGTTCAGATGGCACTCTGTTCAGATGGCACTCTGTTCAGATGGCACTCTGTTCAGATGGCACTCTGTTCAGATGGCACTCTGTTCAGATGGCACTCTGTTCAGATGACACTCTGTTCAGATGGCACTCTGTTCAGATGGCACTCTGTTCAGATGGCACTCTGTTCAGATGGCACTCTATTCAGATGGCACTCTGTTCAGATGGCACTCTGTTCAGATGGCACTCTGTTCAGATGACACTCTGTTCAGATGGCACTCTATTCAGATGGCACTCTGTTCAGATGGCACTCTGTTCAGATGACACTCTGTTCAGATGGCACTCTGTTCAGATGGCACTCTGTTCAGATGACACTCTGTTCAGATGGCACTCTATTCAGATGGCACTCTGTTCAGATGACACTCTGTTCAGATGACACTGTTCAGATGACACTCTGTTCAGATGACACTCTGTTCAGATGGCACTCTGTTCAGATGGCACTCTGTTCAGATGGCACTCTGTTCAGATGACACTCTGTTCAGATGGCACTCTGTTCAGATGGCACTCTGTTCAGATGACACTGTTCAGATGGCACTCTGTTCAGATGACACTCTGTTCAGATGGCACTCTGTTCAGATGACACTCTGTTCAGATGACACTCTGTTCAGATGACACTCTGTTCAGATGACACTCTGTTCAGATGGCACTCTGTTCAGATGGCACTCTGTTCAGATGGCACTCTGTTCAGATGGCACTCTGTTCAGATGGCACTCTGTTCAGATGGCACTCTGTTCAGATGGCACTCTGTTCAGATGACACTCTGTTCAGATGACACTCTGTTCAGATGACACTCTGTTCAGATGACACTCTGTTCAGATGACACTCTGTTCAGATGGCACTCTATTCAGATGACACTCTGTTCAGATGACACTGTTCAGAGGTGCTAAGTGCTATCGGCCAGCAATCGCTATTGGTGTGTCTGAGCCCTTAGACTCCCTCTGGTGGAGGGCGTTACTCCATTGGAGGGGCCCCTCCTCTCCTCTCCCCCTGTGTGCATGGTGACTCATGCTGTGGGCCTGGCTGAAAGGGGTGGTTTCTCTCTGTCTTTACGCTAGGGAAATCCTGTTTGCCTCTGAGGATATCTCTCACCCCATTGTGACATTTTCCCTATTTTCGCATTTAAAAGAATGCAAATCTAAATGGCAGGTCCCAAATGTTGTGTGATTGTGCTGTATAGAACAAACCCCCCATTTTAATGTGACAGATTTATGAGCTGATTGGTGCACCGTACTGTCACACAGGACATGAATGTACATTTTGGGTCCATTAGGACTGTAGAATCTTATAGAGGTCATTATAGAGGTACTTGCTTCCATTCAGCCACAAGAGCATTAGTGAGGTCGGGCACTGATGTTGGGCGATTAGGCCTGGCAGTCGGCGTTCCAATACATCCCAAAGGTGTTTGATGTGGTTGAGGTCAGGGCTCTGTGCAACCAGTCAAGTTCTTCCACACCGATCTCGACAAACCATTTCTGTATGGACCTCGCTTTGTGCATGGGGGCATTGTCATGCTGAAACAGGAAAGGGCCTTCCCCACACTGTTGCCACAAAGTTGGAAGCACAGAATCGTCTAGAATGTCATTGTATGCTGTAGCGTTAAGATTTTCCTTCAATGGAACTAAGGGGCCTAGCCCGAACCATGAAAAACAGCCCCAGACCATTATTCCTCCTCCACCAAACTTTACAATTGGCACTATGCATTGGGGCAGGTAGCGTTCTCCTGGCATCCGCCAAACCCAGATTTGTCCGTCGGACTGCCAGATGGTGAAGCATGATTCATCACTCCAGGAAACTCGTTTCCACTGCTCCAGAGTCCAATGGCGGCGAGTGTTACACCACTCCAGCCAACGCTTGGCATTGCGCATGGTGATCTTAGGCCTGTGTGTGGCTGCTCGGCCATGGAAACCCATTTCATGAAGCTCCCGACGAACAGTTCTTGTGCTGACGTTGCTTCCAGAGGCAGTTTGGAACTCGGTAGTGAGTGTTGCAATCAAGGACAGACGATTTTTACACGCTATGCGCTTCAGCACACGGCGGTCCCGTTCTGTGAGCTTGTGTGGCCTACCACTTAGCGGCTGAGACATTGTTGCTCCTAGACTTTTCCACTTCACAATAACAGCCCTTACAGTTGACCGGGGCAGCTCTAGCAGCGCAGAAATTTGACGAACTGACTTGTTGGAAAGGTGGCTACTATGACGGTGCTACGTTGAAAGCCACTAAGCTCTTCAGTAAGGCCATTCTACTGCCAATGTTTGTCTATGGGGATTGCATGGCTGTGTTCTCAATTTTATACACCTGTCAGCAACGGGTGTGGCTGAAATAGCCGAATCCACTAATTTGAAGCGGTGTCCACATACTTTTGTATATATAGTGTATTTCTTCTGCCAGGGGGAAACAGAACCAGACAGGTGAAAGACTGGCTAATACTGTGCTATGGTGAAACAAAATACTTTATGGATATTATACTGAACTTGGCTAACCCGATAGCTGGCACTGTAGTTAACCTGAAGTTCACCCGTTTGTTTGTATCACATAACCTATTGATATTCCTTCTCCTGAATCAGTTCATACCATGAGTCATTAACATGAGTGGCTGCCCCCCTTAGGCCTGCATGGTGCAGGAGGACCTGGAGAAGACCAAAGAGGAGCTGAAGAGCAAAATCATGGCGTCCCACATACAGGAGCCTATGCAGGCCGAGAACGAGCATGACGAGAATGACGAGAGCAGTGACCAGGCCAGCGCCGAGTTCACGGGCGGCATCTCCTACAAAGACCGCAGTGAGGAGGAGCGCATGACCGAAACCGAGAAGAACGAGCGTGTGCAGCAACACCTGCTGGTGAGTGACCGACTGTGGCTGCTGCCCACATCAAACCCCCCCCCAGCACTGTTTATAGGGGTTGTATCACTGTTTATGATAGTGTAGAGATCAAAAGAATGGCGCATATAAACGTATCCTGTTATGCCTGTGTTGTTGTGTGAGCTATAGTGAAACTTGGCAGTAATGTTATGTTTCCTCTACCAGGCTTTGAGCTCGGAGTTGGCCATCGCTCGGGATGAGACCAAGAAAACCGCAAATGACATCATCCACGCAGATAATGTGAAAGCGGGAAGGGACAAGTACAAGACCCTCCGGCAGATTCGGTCGGGCAACACCAAGCAGCGTATAGACGAGTTTGAGTGCATGTGATGCATCTTGTTTGCAACTGCTATAGGCCCCACAGTGGTGCCATACTTGGTCCATTCATTCTAGACTGCAGACACTGCCTTACACAAGCTACAGTGCCTTCTACCCAAACAAGACCAGTATACATATCAAAGAGCAAAAAGAAAATACTGCACAATGTATTTGAATAATGGTGCACAAATTACAATACAAGTACAATACAATGAAATAAGTGCATCAGTTAATAAGGGAGATATTTAATAGAAGAACAGTTTAAAGTGGATAAGATTTGATCATTTTGATTATAGATGGAGGAGGATGTTGTATTGATGATCATTTACAAGTTATTTTTAATTGATTCATTCCTCACACTGTTTTAAACTGAAAACGAACAAAACAACAACTCGATGCAGGACAGCTGCAATTTGAATTACATTATGGTTGGTCACTATTTAGGTGTCATTGTTTCAGAGCAGGTTTGTTTGTTTTGAGGTGGACCGTTAAGCATTTTCAACAAATGAAGAGAACATCAAACTGTATTTAAATGTGCATTTTTTTATTCTAATTTTAAGCATTTAAATAGATGGTTGTCTTTCTAAGAGAAGGACATCTTTGTTCGGAAACTCTCAGCAGTATTACTTTTACATAAGATTTGATTAAGTCCATATGAAATAAGCGCTGGAATACCACATTTTCCTTTTTCAGAGAGAGACATACAGGACCTCTGAATGACTCTTTACAGACCAAGTGTATCTGCTATGACATATAGCCATGCACACTAGTATTTGCCATGATTAGGAGTTTCTTTTTGTATATCAATCTTTTGCAAAATCTTGTATTATATGGCATTTGAAGCAATATGATTCTAAGGCCTGCCGTGAAAGATTTATTTTGTCATTTGGATTTTTCAATAAAACAAGTTATGTGTAAAAAGATGGATGTCTTACGAATTGTATGTGTCCCTCTAGCCTTTTGTCAATAAATTATATGAATGACTGGAAGCCACCAGCCAGAATTAAAACAAGGATGACTATTGTAATTATTACAGTACTGGGCAGTGCCTTGTCTTCTGCAGAATATTTCAGCAGACCTTTGCTGCTTAAGTCTCCATTTCAACTGTCATTAAAAGTGGAAACTACACTGTTTTATGTGTTCTGTTTTCCCTTTTCCCTTATCTTTGTTTGATCTCAGAAACGGACTGGCCATATGGAAGTCTGGGCAAATGCCGGATGGGCAGGTCCATCTTTAGCACAGTGGGCATGTCTAAATTAGTGTTTTTGCGCATATTGATCATTATTTAGCTAATAATGGGTGCCTCGAGGAAAAAATGGGCACTGTGTGTTAGAAATGACTGGGACGATTTCTGGTCCTAGTCCTTCTCCTGTCTGATCTCATATATGAAATCCCTTGGAATAGGTGCAGGATCCTGCAAGGACACTAGAGGTCCTTGGTTGACCAATAAATATATTTCAAACGCTTCAGAAAGTGGTTTATTCTCAGCACAATTCGAAGGTGGGATTTCAGAAATATCTTCTCTTGTTTGCGTGTAGACTTCTTGAATATGTAAACCCATAAATCAAATTCTGTTTTATTTAACAATTGGACGGATCTCCTGCACCTGAACTATCAAACCAAAGAGGGCAGCGCAAAGAGATCCCTCTAGGCAAAAACGTAACGCAATATCAAATCGGTAACACTTGATATGAAGGGGGTATACACAACACCTTTATGAAACCAGTCATACCACTTTTATGAGTGTTGCAGTATCATTCATAACTTTCATAACACATTCATCATTCATAAAAAGCTTTCAAAATAAAAGTTCACTCAAATTACATTGTATTAATCCTTTGAATAACAAACATTTTCATTTGTACCTTTACAGTACCCAACCTCCTGACACACTATTAACGCAACAGGTTGGGAGAAGCACAGAGTAGCCCTTACAGCATAACCATTGTAGCAGTGTAGGTGTGAAATGCCTTGCTTAAGGCCCCTATGGCGGTGGGGAATGGCACAGCCCTGGGTGTAGTATCTTTTAAATACATAAATTGCTGGGCTTGATTGAGCTTGCTGGGCTTGATATTCCCAAAAGTGCAAACCCCACCCGCCCATCTGTCACTCCAAGCAGGCTCAAGCAAACACTCAAAGTATTTGAAAGATTTCAAATACCATTTGAACCCAGGTCTGGGTGGCAACTGAGCAATTGTTTGCCATTGTAATGTGGTAGTATGAAACCTTAGCTGAGACCTGAAGACTTGCATTAGTTCCACAAACTAATGCCTAGTCCTTAGCTCAGCAGGCTAACACAGTCTTATGGTGCGCAAAAGACCCGGGCTTGAATCCACCCACCCAGTCAGTAACATTTACTTTTATTTTGAAGACTGCTTATGAATCATGTTTGATAAATGTCTAATGAATGTTGTATGAATGATACTGCAACATTGATGAAGGTGTCATCGTGACTGGTTTATAAAGATGTAATGAATACCTTATGGATACCCTGTTACCATCAAATCAACATCACATTTTGGTTGATATTTAATTGAGCTGTCAACAAATGTGAATTCTACTTTAAAGGTCCAATGCAGCTGTTTTTATCTCAATATCAAATCATTTCTGGGTAACAATTAAGTACCTTACTGTGATTGTTTTTAATTAAAATGACAAAAAAAGAAACAAAAATAGTTTCTTAGCAAAGACCAATTTCTCAAGCAAGAATTTAGCTAGGACTGTCTGGGAGTGGTCTGAGGGTGTAAGGTTCTGTATTTATTTTTCTTAGTCATAGTCAACGTAGCCCTGTTTCTTTGTGTTCTTGAACGTAGCCCTGTCTTTCATTTTTGTTCATTGATTTCACCTGTGTTAGTTACTCACCTGGTCTCATCAGCTCCTTATTTAGTTCAGTTCATTCTGTTTGTGCCTGGTGAGGTATTGTTCGTTTTGACTCTACTAAGCCTTTTCCTAAATCTGACATATTTTCCACCAGCCTATCCCTACTCCTCCAATGCCAGGTATCATATCCCATTGCCCTCCTTCATTCATATCCATGCCTGGAAAATATGACGGTTCATCTGGGAAATGTCAGGGATTTCTGATGCAATGCAGCAAATACATTGAGCACAACCCCACTAACTTCGCCACCGACAAGAGCAGGGTGGATTATGTTGTGTCTCTACTCACAGGCAAAGCCCTGGATTGGGCCACCGCCATATGGACTGCCAACAGCACAGAGCTCGGATCAGAGACCCATTTCCACACCCTCTTCAAAGAGATATTCGATCACTCTCTTTCCGGTCGTCCTATAGGAGACCTCCTCATAGAATTTCAACAAGGATGCAATTCAGCTGCCAAGTATGCCCTCGAGTTCCGCACCATGGCTGCAGGGAGAGGATGGAGTGAGGCTGCTTTACTTACCGTCTACCGAAGAGGGCTCAACAGGGAACTTCAGGCGGAGCTGGCCTGTAGAGGTGACCTTCAGGATTTAAATCAATACATTCGTATCTCCTTCGACCACCTCATCGCCGACCGGTAAAGAACTCTGCCACCCAGGGACCTGAAACCTTCTCTTTCCATGATTCCGTCATCCCGTCCGAGTCTTCCAGAGCCCATGCAGTTGGGCCATGCTCCTCTCCCGTGTATCGAAAGTCAAAGGCGGATCCAAGAAGGGCTCTGCCTATACTGTGGAGCAGTGGCGGCTCCTGAAAAAATTCTCAGGAGGGGCAATTTTTCTGATGATTTAGGTGACCTACACACATTTAAAAAAAGATATGTCCAGCAACAACATGAAGACAGGGGCAGCATATAAGTCAATACCAGAAGCATTTATTGACTGATCTCAAAAGTGTTGGCTTACCAGGGTTGGTGGAGCCCTCAGTTTCATCTTTGCCTCGCAAAGCTAACTCAAACACTCCGCAAAACTTCACACACTGGATTAGCCGGCTGAGGATGTGGCGGTTCTTGCTAATGTCGTAGTAAATATATTTGTTATAGTGAATATGGAATATGATATGTTGAGTAAAATGTTGTGCTAAGATCTATTTAGGTCAGGAGCTGGTTATAAGTTCTGTTCCTATCCAATAACAATGGACAAAAGGGTCCTATCTTGTCAGCCTTGTCAGCAGGTGGCCAAGGACAACACCCACGCCATAGGCCTCTCAGTTCTTCCAACTCACGAGTTCTTGCTCTGAGGACACACACACACACAAACACACACACACACACATCATCACTGTTAAACACACACACACACACACACACACAAAAATCCCCTCTCTTAGGCTGAACATTTGAAGACAGAGAACCCGACTCAGAGCCAATGCAACAGTGACAGTAGCCTGCAGGGGACCTCGCCCAACTCATCAGGACCAATCAGAAGATCAGAACTACTAGATTGAACCTACTTCATTTATTGCATAAAATGTCTGCACACAATGTTTCGGGGCTCTCTTCAGATAATAATAATAATAATAATAATAATAATAATAATAATATGCCATTTAGCAGACGCTTTTATCCAAAGCGACTTACAGTCATGCGTGCATACATTTTTGTGTATGGGTGGTCCCGGGGATCGAACCCACTACCTTGGCGTTACAAGCACCATGCTCTACCAGCTGAGCTACAGAAAGTGGATACTCATGGATGCGCATTGCAATTGTAAAATGTCAACACAATTGGAGACACCACGTCATTTTTGGAGACATGTTATTGACAGTAAACTATTGTAGATGCGACTGCTAACTAACTAAAACATTTTAGCTGGCTAGCTAATCATCTTAGCTAAATGTGGGGCAAACAATTCAGTTATTTACCGTTAATTTGAGGGATTGGGGTGAAAGAAATCGAGTTACATAGTGATACTTTACGATATACTGTATTGACAATATCGCAATATTTTAGCGCTAGTTGGCTGTACCTGCACCAAAACACCATTATTGTTCCTTCATAGCTTGTTCTCAATCTTTTCACATTGGGAGCCAATTTGTTTTCAGCACTTTTATTTCCATGACTGATCAAAACTCGTTCTCATGGCTTTCTGATCCCTCTGCAACAGACATATGGTGCGCAATAAAATCACAGTATCGAATCGCAATACGTATAGAATCATGAGACTCGCAATGCTGATGCATATATCTTATCGTGAGGTTCCTGGCAATTCCCAGCCCAAGTTCATTTGCCACAACAAATCTCTTCGCTAGCAAACGCGATGTCTTCTCCAAAACGGCAATGTGTCTCCAGCAATGTTTACTTTTTTGACGTTCTATGGCATCTCCACTTTCCAAGCATATATGACCACATGTAATATTTTGGTAAGTGATGCAAATAGTGAACTATGTAGGGCCAGGATGTAAAATATATGTAGCTGCAGCAATTTCTCTTATCTGATATGGTAAGTAATGGGGCTTAATTTATAGCTCCCTAAGAGTTTGACGAACGGGTCCGTGAACGCGATTCCAGATATATTTACCTCTGAATAAACTGCCTTTATTACACCATATCCACATCCAGTAAACTTGTGATTATCAACACTAACCTCATCGTTGTGGCGGCGGACAGCTAGCCTGTATCCCTCGTCATCCAGTTGAGTGAGTGGCAATGTCTTTTTTCGTTCGTACCAATTTTTGGAAAATCCTCGGGTGTAGGACTTTCCGCCTTTAGTAGAAACCTGTTGAATTATTAAATTTGGTCTGGGAGGTCCTAATTGTTTCGTTGCCAATTTATCTTCATTCGTTCGCCGACAAAAAGGAACTTCTTTCAAACAATCCACTCTTTTCTCAGTTACGTTCATGGTTACGTAACGTATGACGAAAGCGCGTAAGTGCAAGCCCACAGACACCCATTGAGATTGTATTGAAGGCTCTGAAATTTGAAAAAAATAGATTTTACATGGGAGTCTATGACAGAAGTTCTGGGCGATTTTCAATCTGACTGAAATCGCCCCAAAAGGGGGTGGAGCCATTTGAAGCACGACTTTAGCCTGATTCGACGTTTAGTGGCAGTGTGGCACTGTGGCAGATCAGACCAGTGGCGGCTCCTGAAAAAATTCTCAGGAGGGGCAATTTTTCTGATGATTTAGGTGACCTACACACATTTAAAAAAAGATATGTCC